TAAAATTGGTTTGCCTTTATCTTCAATTTGTTATTGAGTTCCCTCTTGTCTATACTGAAAATATGCAGTTGGCTGATTGAGACGCTTCCCTTTCTGAATGTGGCGGCTAATAACTTCGTCACATCAGTCATTCACCACAGTGACAGTGAACATAACTCTGCTCGCTGCAAAGCAGTTGTCTCATATTCAGTCAAATGGATGGGCTTTATATATACAATATAACATATGATCAGTTTGTGCTTATATGTATCGCTCGCTGGTTTGGATTCAATGAGCATGACTCACTTTGGAAAAATATCTCTGGTGTACTTTGAGCCCTCAGTTCATTGTGGTCCGTCCAGTGCCATGTGTGATTGAATCTCATAATGTAAATACAGCTAGAAGACAATAATATCCAAATAAAATACAGACGGTCGAGTTGCCGCCTCCCGCTGCTCTTCCTGTCCACTGTGTAACTAGACAATGGAGTGAGCCACAGGAAGGACATGAATCCAGCCTCATATCCTCATATCAGCCACTAATGTGTAATGGTCATGAGATTAAACAAGATATGTCTGGGAATTACAGACGTCTCCTTATTTTATAGCCCCTTACTCCAAACTCCCAATATGTGGTGGGAATCGGCAAAAGAGAAGATGGCTTTCTACATTACTGTAACCTACAGTAGTGCTGAGCCGTGGCATGCAGTGCCTAAAGACCTACCAAAAGAGGCTTTTATTCCCCTCAAGTGAAGACTACATCACCACAGGGGAAAAGTGAACATGATGGTAGAGAAAGTCCCTTAAGATGTTATATAAGAGCAGAGATATTCCTCAGCAGATAAAAGCCTTCCTATCAGCCGCCTCCCCATGCTGATTTCCTAGTGCGTTCACACTCAAAGAAGCCCTTTGATAAGCACATTAGATGGAACGGCCTGGACACAATGGTGATGTCATGAGGATTAGCACGCTACCTTGCTTAGTGTAGCGACGGGCACAAGGGCCAATTCAAAGCACTGCAGGGCGAGAGACTGGGAGACCGGGCTGCAATGAGACCAAGAAGGGCTGCAGCACAACCAGTGGTTAAAACACAGCCTCTGTGTACTTTACGGACGGCTGGAATAAACAGCATGTATTAAACATTCATGTCGCACTCCACTTTTGGAGCATTTTGTGTAATTTTCCTGCAGTTTCGCCGTTACATCACAAACTGTCTTGCTGTTAAAGGGGCCTGTAATCAGAGCAGTCATAGGTCAGATGGTGCTCTATAGTGAGAGCTACTGTAAGTGAAAGCTGTTGTGATTCAGGCACAACGGAAGAAACAGCCTCTTCATGCTCTCCTTTCAGCCATCTCCCCCACAATTTTGAAGTTCAGCTTTTATACCGAACCACTATCTTTCTCCTTTCACCCTGCCTTCTATTCACGTACAGTACTGTACAGGACATGAATAAGTTAAATGCAGAAAGCTCTCTTGACACAAGAGAGAACATCCAAGTGAAATTGTTTTCCAAGACTCGCAGCAGCACAGTACGCAGTTTGGACCCATTTCACTGAAAGTACTTCTCAAGAAACAGGTGATGTAGGTGGCTTATGCAATGGTTTTATTTTTATTTTTATTCCAAGGAATAGTGCTTAAATGTTCCAATACAAAAGCGGAATATGGAGCCTGAAAGTAAATGTAAGGTCCAGAATTGAGCAGGCAAAACAATCTTCTTTATTTGTGATTAATGTAACTTTTGGGAAGAATGTCATCAAAAAAGTAATTCACATAGATATTAAATCAGAGTAGCATGCCAGGTTGCTTTTCATAGCACACTATAGCCTTGTGTTCTGAACATACTGTATAGTGCAAATCTGGAGAGGCAATTACTGAGCTGAATGTTCCCCATGGTTACAGCTAGGTTAATAGTCAGGCCTCAGGTGGAGATGACGGATAGATGTTTTCGTCAGTATAAGGAAGCTTCAAGGCCTCCTGCAACGGAAATGTTTTTTTAAAAGAAGTTCAAGTATCACACAAGCAAACTGACAGACACACACACACACACACACATGCACACACAGACAATGGTGCCCAGTTGGTTTGACGTCAGCCACTCACAGTCTCATTTTTATTTGAAGAGCCAAATTTCTATCAATACAGGTTTGGACTGCTGTGAGAAAATAGCAGCTGGCCTCGTTCCCTCTCATCTTTGTGAGCCTCTCAGGACACTGTGAATAGATTACACAAGTTCCCTTGTCCATACTCCTTCCAGCCCTCCTCTCGCAACAAACAGCACATATCTTTCATTAGAAATGCTACTGAAAATCCCAACCTCAGCTGTATTCACATCCAGCCAACTTGGCTTTCCAAGTTACAAACCAAACAATTTGATTCAACATAGTAAAAAGGCAATTTGAACCGGCTTTATATCAAGCTATTCACAATGCAAAAAGAAGCTATCTTTTCTTTCTTGCATCCTGATTGTCTCGTAGGTTTTTCAGCTTTTTCTAGGTCAGAACACTGTAGTGTCTCTGGAGCAGTCTGCAGCATTGAGATGTAAGAGCAAAGTTGATCTCGGGTCAGGTGGCCTTTAGGGCTCCATGTGGTCCCTTCTACGGCCATATCTCTGCGCGGCTGCCTCTGATTGGCCAGTGTGGGGAGCCAGGTCTTGACAGGTGTTTGAAAGAGAGACACCTGTTTGGCCATGTGCTAATTTAGTGATCCATTTACTGAAAGCAGTGGGCAGTGTCTGTGGGGTGCCCAAAACATTCCAAGTAATTTAACAAAGTATTACAGCCATGCATTCCAAAGCCTTAAATGTTATAGGACGCCATAGAGATAAATACCTCTTAATATACGACAAACACACCTTCACTGTATCTTTTTGAAGACGATATGAATTGTAGTGATGTGTAATGGAACAGATCTGGTTGCTGCCTGCCCTTGTCTGCTGCTATCTGGTTCCCGCTCACCCACTGTGCTGCAACCCCTCCCTAAATGGCTTGGGCCAGTGGGTGCGGCGTACCGAAGGCTGGCCAGGCTTGTTGTGAAAGTAGAGCAGCCCTGCCCGACTCACGCAGCCGTGCCCGACCAGCCCAACCAAGATATTCCCATAATGAGCAGGTTGGAACCAAAATGTGCAGGTTGAGATCAGATCTTTGGCTCAGTGGTGGAGAAAGTGCATAGTTTAACCCCAGTAAACACAGGCCTTTCAGGACCCTAACTAAAGAGGGTTCGTTCAGTAAACAGGAAATGAAGCAGCAAGGCGTTTTCGTAGAATGAGAAGAATGCCACTGCTCTGTACCGCACCAAACAGTAATGCATCTGTGGTACAGTACTGGCCATTCATTATCCAGAGAATGTTTCTCTCCCTCTCTCTCTCTATCTTTTTCTCTTTTCCTCTCTCTCTGTTTCCCTTTAGCATTGTGGACACTTGTGTTTGAAGAATTGTGGGTGCTTTTCTGAACTTCCTTATTTCTGAGGTGCCCCGTCATGTACTTCCCTTAAAAACATGTGAAGGCTAGTTTAAGTTTAAGTGAGAAATTCGAAATTAAGCATCATCGGGGTTTTTAATGAGCAATGATATTACGCATGCCTTATCATAGGTTTTAGGAAATGTAACTTACACTGAGGTTGTGGTGAGCAGCGCGGGGTTAGCCGCATTGTCTTGGCATAGACCTAAACGTACTGTCACATCGCTGTCAGAGGATGTAGCAGCTGTAGAAATACACCTCCCCCCCTCCGCACACACAGATTGCACATATGCACCACACACACTCCTACTCATATAGCCACTCTTTCACACACACATTTTCCACTTTCTTGCGTGAAGAGCAGAGACAGAGAGTAAGGTCTCATTAGTGTGTGGGTTCCTCTCCTCTTGCTCACACTCTGACCCCAGAATCCACAGGAGTCAGTGACCTTCCTGTAGACATGAGGCCTCCGAGGCAGCCCACAGACAGGGCAGGGCGCTGCTGTGGACCTGCAGCAGTCTGATAGAGGCACCTCGAGAGCCACACATAAATCATGTTTTGATGTACACTGTCTTGATATCACATGCTGTCACATGCTGTCAGCAAGTCTTGTTAACACCGCTATTCAGAGCTGTGATGAGGAGCAGAGAACAGCCTCTAAGAAAGTGAGCAAAAAGGGACAGCGTTGCATTTATTTGTTTAGTTTTATGATGTGTTTTTCTTGAAGTAAGAATAGACTCTTTATAACACCACCACTCACCATCCTATGCACTTATGAGCGCTTTGCTTTTACAATAATTGCTCAATTTCACGCTCAAATAAGCATCTTTGACCACATTTGATTATCCATTTTATTCTTCACATGCATTAGGTTTGATAGGATTCCACGAGTGACAGCCATACTGAATTACAGGCTGGGGCAGTCTTAAAGTGCTCGGATGTAGGATCTTCTTATGCAGGGTTTTCTTCCAGCTGGGTGGCTTATGATAACTGAAACATGATGAAAAATGCAAAGAGACACAAGAGAAGGAAGAACAGGGAGAGATAGGGAGGGGGAAGAAGGAGAGAGAGAGATAGAGGAAAAGGGGGGAGGATAATATTTTGTTTCTCTGAACACTTTTGAAGGGTGAAAGGATATTTCAGTTTACCCTTGGCGCACAGTATTGAACTACATTTTAACCTTGCATTTGTATATCAGCTGTTTATGGTTTAATGTAACACATGAAAGAAATGAAAGGGCAATGTACAGTAGATGTTTAATGTTGTACATGTTTGATATATACTTTTTCAGTAGATATGTATATGTATATAAAGTAAGCAAAAACACTAGTATTATATTGTTTCTTGAAATTGTGCAATTTCCTTTCAGAAATTGAGAAACAAAGGCCATAATGACTGTGCTAGTCCTGATCCTGAAGACTGTTTTGGGCACAGCCCCCTCATGGACGACCATTTCGGCAAACTAAACGAAGAGAGTGATTTAATGTACAAGCGCTGTGGTGTAAGTACTTCCTTTGTCCCCTGCTGTTTTGTGTTGATTCCTGTCTTTATGTTGATGTTCACTACAGGCGCTAAACAAGAAAGAACACAGAGGTTGTGATAGCCCGGACCCCGATGCCTCATATGTCCTCACTCCTCACACAGAAGAAAAGTATAAAAAAATTAATGAGGAGTTTGATAATATGATGAGAAATCATAAAATCGTAAGTACTGTAAATGCAACGTTTTTGCTTGGCTTTGTGGCACAAAGGATTTTCACTCTTTTTTCATTTAACTTTTTCCTCTTTTTGTTACCCCCAGAACCTCTGTCAACTTCTTTCAGAACTACTCTAGCTTAATATGAATGCCCCTTCACTGGGTGTGCATTTGTTTCTTATGATGATTTGTTTTGCAACTGATATTTTGGCACACCCTGATAAGATCACATTTCATGTGAACAGGTGAAATGTTGCATGCTTCTGCTGGAAAGATTACACCCTAGTATCATGGTCATGTTATCATAAATCAAACAGCAGTTGCTATTTAGAACCATTGGGAATGTACAATAAATACTTTCTCACTTGTCGTGAGTATTTATCATAAGGCTATGCAGGTTCTGTGATATAAGGTTTTTTTCTCCAACCTAATTTATATTTTTACAAGTGACAGGCATAACCGAAAACAAGATAAAAAAACGTTAACAGTTCCTTGATAATGTAATGTTTGAAATGTCCCCTTTATAATCCTTCTATTACCTCTCTTTAGATGCCTTCTAGCATAAAATAAATCTTACTCCTGAATGGCTCCAGCATAAAAGTGTTCCCAGAGCACACTAACACTACGCTATCATTTAGCATCTTCCCTCTCCTTCATCAAATACCACACTGGCTCACACTCTAAATTACCACAAATCTTTTGTGATCTTATCATGCGGGACAATATTAGAACTGTGCAAGAACATAGTGCTTACTAAGCAGTCGTTTTCTCTATTTTCCTGACATGAAGAGCATCACATTGCCATTAACAAACTAATGATAACACCCGACCGGCTCACTGGATAATGCTATGATGAAACGTTCTCACCGCCACCTGTCATTCTCACTTAAGCTTTGCACAGTCAGCACTTTTTAGGTAAATGCAAGTGAGTCACGATTCTTGTAGTTGTGAATCCCTGCCATCCCTCTCTGCTGTGCTGAGAAACACGTAACACAGTGGTGTTTGAAAAGGTGAAAGTACGTCTGTAGTGCTGACTGCTGCAATGCCAAAGTGATCACCTGAGCGCATGTTTTTTTGTGATTTTTCTGTGTGTTGTGTTATACTGAAGACTTGTGTGTATACTTAATGTATGATGTAAATCAGAATAAACTTTTGTGATGATCTTATGGTGTTACCCAATAGCCCTCATGTTGGGTATAAAGTGTCTTAAAACATTTTGTGATGAAGAAACAGTCAAGTTTAAAATGCACAGTATGTCCTTGTTTATTAAAGCAAACCCTCAAGGGTGGCTCTCTGTTAATGATGCCATGACAATCACTGACCCATCAGACTCATCATTAGACTTGGTCTTGAGTGTGTTTATGTGTAAACCTCTGCTTGTGTTTGTCTCCCTCTTGTAGCCCACAGCATTGCCTCAGCAGAACTTCTCCATGCATGTGGCAGTGCCTGTGTCCAATCATAATGCCATGTACCAGACAGGAGGGACTCTGGGCAGCCAGGCGCTGGCGGCCGCCGCGGCCTCTCTCATTGACAGTGGGATGCTGTCCCCTCCACAGGCCTCTATGCACAGGAATGTGGGCTCCAGTGGAGGACCCCAGAGGCCCACCAGTGCAGGTTAGTACACAAAAACCCCAGTTAATTGGTCAAAGTGGTGCACAAAGGATGCAGAACACTCAGAGCAGGATTTATTTAGTTGATTAAAGCCCCTTTGTGAGTGTAGTATGTGATTACAGTATATTATTGTTATAATTCTGCTGGCATACATTTTTTGTTGGAACAATTTGACAGTTCTGATGAGAAACTGATGGAAGTCATTAAGTCATTAAGATAAGATTCTATCTTATCTTATCTTATCTTATTAGCCTAGACACTAAGGCTGCAGCCACACAAGAACGGTAACGGTCGTATCCGCTACAGTTCTCTATCATATAGACGGTTCGGCCACACGAGGCTGACAGGGAAACGCAGATAACGATAACGGGTCCCAAGGTGGGTAGATCTGGGGACGCAATGCGCTGGGGGGCCAAACGGCTCCGTGTCTACGCCCTATACAATCATTTTTGTCACTCACTTCTTCCACCTCAAAAACATCGCCCGTCTACGTCCATCCCTCTCCCCCACTGCTGCAGAAACCCTTATCCACGCCTTCATCACCTCCCGTCTGGACTATTGCAACAGCCTCCTCTATGGTTCACCTGCAAAAATCCTCAAAAAACTTCAATACATCCAGAACTCCGCCGCCCGTCTACTCACCCACACCCGAATCCGTGAACACATTACACCCGTCCTCATCAAGCTCCACTGGCTCCCCATCCCCCAGAGAATTAAGTACAAAATCCTCCTAATGACATACAAAGCCCTCCATAACCTGGCCCCATCCTACCTGACTGACCTCCTCCACAGCCACACTCCCACTCGCTCCCTCCGCTCTGCTGCTGCCAACCTCCTGTCCCTCCCCACCCGGACCAACCTCAAGTCCTGGGGCGGCAGAGCCTTCTCCGTTGCTGCACCCACCCTCTGGAACTCACTACCCCAATCCATCAGAGATTCTTCCTCCCTCACCGCATTCAAAACATCACTCAAAACCCACCTGTTCAACACTGCATTCAACCACTGACCACCCCCCCCCCTGTTTTCTGTTTTGTTTATCTCTTTTTGTATTTTTTTTTTTTTTGTTTTGTTTTTGTAAATAATTTTTTATTCTCTGTCAAAGCGTCTTTGAGTTTCTAGAAAAGCGCTATACAAGTCTCATGTATTATTATTATTTTCTGATAACGATGAAGCAATAGCCCCGCCTCTCCCCACCTCTCCTGCTCAGAGATCAGCTGCTGGGCTGTCAGAAGAGGGGGAGGAAAAGAGAGGCTCCATTTATTATTCTTATATTATTATATAGAGTCGTTATCAATTTGTTTTAAAGCTCAATACCGTTAACAAAGAAGACCTCTGACCGGCATTTTTCTAATTTTGTCCGGAAGATTTAAACTTTAACGGACATGTTGACCGGCGAAAAAACGGAAACTCTCCCTTGGAAGAGGCGGAGAGGTGGGTGTTTTTCATCTGCTGGTGGACTACCGGAGAGATTTACAGCAGGAGCACACGCTTGCCTCGGGGAGGGAGAAAAAGAGCCAGAGCGTCCACCGCGGAGAATAAACAGAAGGGCAACCATGGCAACCATGCACGGGAAGTCTTCTTCGCTGCTTTTGGTGTATTTTGTGGCAGAAATACAGCGCCACTTACAGGCCCGGCATATGTACTACAGCGTCTCCAGCGCTTTCGAGCGGGCTCGTGTGAACGGACACGTTTCTGGTGCCTATTGCGGTGTGGACGGAAGACTTTTTTGATATCGAATTTGGTTCGTTTGCGTTACCGTTCTCGTGTGGCTCCAGTCTCAAAGCAGGGGGTAACACCTAGCCTGGTTGTCTCCAAACAAAAACAATGACTAACTGCTCCACATTATATCTTGTTTGTTTGACAAGAAATTATGAAAATGGGCTTTGATGGGATAACATGCTGTACTGTTCTTAACTATTTTTGGATGAACTACAGTTAATATGTGTGTCGGGCACGTCTCTCAGAGTCTATGCTGGTCTCCCCAATGTAAACCACAATGCATTAAAAGCAGATTTCTTAACTTTAGTTGGAGCCAGGCTAGTTGTTTCTCTTGCTTCTCCCCCTTTTTTTTTCTTCTTCAAGATGGATGTGGATGCAAGGGGCCTCAGATCAAGCAATAATATCACTCTGCACCATTTAGCTGGTGTTTCTGTCATGTATTTATATTTGTACACTCTCTTAAATGCTTATCATCACACCTTTTACTGTATCAGCGTTGTGGAAAAATAATGTCAGTGTACACTAGTTCTTGAATGAGAGGCTTGACAAAGTCATTCCAGATGGCTTTTGCAAGATGCAGCTACACTGCACAAGATAGAGGTGCAAGCAATAAGGTGTGAAATACCTCATTCAAAATTAACCACATACCAGAATTGGACAACACCTACTCATACACAGGGGGTTTACATATTGATTGTGTTTTGAGATAACTACTCGTTCCTGATAATTCAATGCTTTATTTGCATTGTTTTTGTTTGTTATGATTCATTTCGGATCAGCCTTTATAAAAAGCTTAAAAATAAAGTGCCCCGGCCCATATAAGTGGACGTAGCCAATGTGACATCACCCAGAAGTGGGCATATTTAGATAAGATGTTGAAGCCAGGCAAATGTTGCACCTCTTTCTTTTTTTAATCACAATGTAGACATCCCATAACCATACCCTGCTTAATCGTGTTTTTACTCTAAATGGGAAATGGGTTTACGAAATGAACATGTTGTATTTAAAGAAGACTTGTAACTAGCTATTGAATCTAAATCTTATAAATTAGTTTACTCAGATTATAAATCAAATTACAAGTAGAGTTATTTTTCTTATGGACTTCTATACATCGGGATTCTTTTTGCAACTAGTGGAGTTGCCCCCAGTTGTAAATGAGAAAGAATACAGGTTTAGGGCAATCCTGCATTGGCTTCACTTTTCAGACCCTTCTTTTATAAAGTCTGTGTCCAAGGCTCACGTGGCAGACCTGCTGTTGTGTGCTAGATAATGATGGTTTCTACTTGTTAGAACTTCAATGAGAGGATCCAGTAGATTCAGAAATAGAATAATGTATTGTTGCAGCAGGTGCTTCTTCATTGTGGAATTCTGCAATCATCACTTCCAACTTTATAAACATAACAAAACACCATGCTGAATACGGCTTGATGTTGCTCTCTTTAATCATAAATTGAAAATGTCCCCACCATGAGGACACTGGCGAGAGCACACACCTCCCTTTCGTGAGCTGTGAAGATGGATCTACATGAAATGTTCATGTCTGGTCTGGCATCTCCATCACATGCTCTGCTAGCTTGCAGAAGGATGCAGATGGTTAATCATATCACTCTGTGCATCTCATTAGGTGGTATGCTGGATACCACAGACCTTTCAGTGCCAAGTGGTGTGGGCTCCGGCCCAGCGGGTAAGTCCTCCCGGAGAGATTCATTAGCTCTCTGTAGCTCTGCCCAATTGGCCTCCTGCTTAGCACGCGAGCTGGATAGTTGCATATCCATCTGTGAGTGCTTCAAGACGGTTGTCACTGTCATTGACTGATAGTGCCTTTGACCGACTATTTTCACTGCATGCAAAGGGAATACAAGTATTGTTCCTCTCAACAGAGGAAATGTATGTTATGCTTGTTAAATGCATGTGTGAGTAATGGCTCAGCAGCATTCACACAGTGTGGTGTTTGTGTGAGTATAACCAGTTGAGGCAATTAGCTGTCCGACTGACTTTGGCAGGTAAATAAACGCAGCGTTTCCTTTAAACTTGTCACCTCTATGGAGCCCTCCCTCATCCTGTTTCCTTCCCTCTATTGACAGGTGCATCTGTTTTGCCCCACTACTCAGGCAGCCCTTATAAGGCTGGAGCGGGTCTGTAAGATGCCTAGACCTGCATAACCCTTTAGGTATTCGGGCCATGACACCCCACTAAGTCCTCGGTACACAATGACCGGACAGCTTGTCATGGCTGCAATGTGCTGTGTGAGAGGCGAAAGCAGGTGGAGTTTAACTCCTTCCCTATCACTAAGCTCGCTGCACTCCATATAGTATTTCTAACAAAATGCAATATAGTGTTTCAAAATTGTACGATATTTGACGTTCATAGCAAGGGGACAACCACTAGAATATAGGCTTACAATGGGGTATTTGGCTAGGTATTGATTAGAAGGTATGCATAGCACTTTGGATCAGTTTACAACATTTCAAGAGGGTGTTGGGTATAAGTTTAGGGTGTGGTACCAGGTCGGGTAGAGTCAGGGTCCTCTGCCAGGGGGCGTCAGCGTTTGGCACAGAGTGAGCATGCTGCAGCTGTTGTTTGTACCAAGAGTGTAGAACAGCAGATAGTACAGGGTGAAGAAACCTCTCCAAGCCCTGCTGTCAGATGACCATTCCTGACATAGCTCAGATTTTTCACAAGTAGCAGCTATGACCACAGCAGAAACATTTCAAAGTGGCCAGATGGATTAGTGTGATATCTTCTCTCTTCTTCTTCAGTATCACCATAGAGAGAACTTTCAAGGCCAAAAACCCTGGATTTTTTGATAAAAGGGATCTCATATTGGGATCTGGAAGAGTTATTCTTTACTTATTAGGTGAATATGAAAATAGCCTGACTTGCAAGAACACACATGTTGATAAAAGAGGTTTTCTCTAGCAAAAGATTATTATTAAAAGCCATCTGTTATTGTTGTAGTCTAATCTTTGGTTAAAAAAAGTGTTCTACAGCTACTGCGCCTTCAAAAACAATCTATTTATGTCTGTAGTTCTAGACTGGTGAGCATAAAAAAATCAAAGTTGTTGTGATCGGAGAGAATTTAAGTCTGCAAGCTGTACACAACACAGCATTACAAGCTATTGAAACACAGTGCCATTGCACATTTGTTTAATCAGCAGAAAATATTGGGTAATGGAATAAATGATATGTAGCTGCACCTAGTTTGTTCTGGTGCGAATTTCAGTTTTTTTATTGATGGGTGATTAAAGGTTATACATGCATTCAAAATTGGAGAATAATGCTGTCAAAAACAAAAAAACAAGAACAATTATTAACCTGATAGCCTTGTGCCTTTAGGTTTAACTAGTCACTAGTCTGCTCATAGTTTTCTGAGACACAACAACACAACTGCATGGAATCTATTATTAGAAAAGTGTTTTTGGAGACCTTGATTCACATCTATTATTCCTTTTCATTTATCAAGACATTTTCTCTTTTCCTGAACCTCACGCAAGTGGGATATTGAGCTCAAGTCTCTCTGTTTTATTTCCCTGGACTTCAAATGAAAACTGAATGTCTCAGTTGTAAACACAAGGCCTTATGTAAGTCCCCTTCCCAGACCGTGTTAATAATTCAGGACAATGAACAGAAACCAAACAGCCTTCCACATGCACAGGTTTCAGTCAGATGATTTATTGGCCGAACCAAGCCATTACAGAAGTCTGAGTATGGAGTGAGGATAGACTTTAGAAGAAAACCTGAAATGTCCCTGCTTGAAGGCTGGGTCTTAACTTGTGGCTGTTACGTTGGCTCAAAATGATCTTTGTGGTCCGAGTACTTGTTCAGACATGTGTTCCCTTCTTGGCATTTATGTGAAACAAGTGTGGGAATTATTAATCATCAGACATCTGAAGTCATAATCATAGGAAGTTACAACAAATGCAACTCAGGTTGGTTAACCCAACATTAAATAAGGCAGTGAACACCACACTGAGCTTCTGTCTGTCTTTGCCTGATGATGCACTAGCAATGTGTCAAGTTGTTATCATCCCAGCATATGTCGGTATACAAGTGAACAAAGATATCTTGAAATGGTAACAGAAACAGTTTGAGTGAAAAAAAATGCAGTCATACATTTTATACCAATATATGTTATAATTGTACAACAACAGCAACAGCTTTTCTTAACAAATTCATATTTTAGATGTGCTTTTGAGGACCACTGAAGGCATTTATTATCCTTGCCTCTATTACAGTAACATTTCTTTGGAAAAACAGTATAAAGGACAATAAACAATGCTAGTGGGAAGCTGACACAAGTGTATTTGATTGAATAAATAAATAGCCAGGAAGCAGCTATTGTCTAAATGACACAAAAGAGAAGGGAAAAAGCCCCTTTTCAGGGTACACTCAAAGCCTGTTACTTTTCTTGGCAATAGAGTATATGTTCATTTCAGGTACAAAAATATAAAGTAATAGGGATGTGTTGTTATATCTTTGTTGTTCGATATACAATGGTGTTTTGAAGTGGAATGGGCCAATTATTAGTGACCAACTTGATGCCTTTTTCATTTTTAAGCCTTTGTTAATGCTATAAGTTTTAACTGTGTTTTTTTCTGCTATGACACTCTTTAATATTTTCCTCAGAATCACTGTTACAGTATCACTATCACAGCTCACTGATTTTTAGGGATTCTCCGATCGATCGGCCGCCGATCGATATCTGCCGATACTCACTCTCTGCCGATCGATCGGTGCTCTCTAAAAATGCCGATCGCGAGAGCCGATCGTATGACGTAAAATGATGACGTAAAATACACGACACTTTTCTCTGTGCGCGGCAAAACAAGCTCGCCAAAATGGCTTCACCAGTCTGTCAGTATTTTATGGTGTCCGAAAATGACAATAAAATAGCGGTATGCAACGTGTGTGTGAAGCAGAAATCCTGCAGCTCCACCCGCTGTGACGGACCGGTGAGCGGAGCAGAACACACACTAAGAGTTAGACCTAACACACTTAGCTATTTTATCTACCTCTGGAGCTAACTAAACTAGTTATAAATATCTTTATTCTTCACTGTCGGGTCACTCATTACTGGATCAGCGAGCTGCATGAGATACTGACAGGCTGTCAGGAGAGAGAGAGAGGGAGAGAGAGGAAAAGAGAGCGCTTCCGCTCATTTCTCCCGTGTTATTTTCCAAAGTTAATGTAAACTTGAATAATGTACTTCATTTGAATGTAATAATTATGTTGGTTGTTGTTTGTGGAAGCGCCAGTGAATGAGCCCCATTAACTGAGTTGTAAACATCACTTTAAATGGAAAATCCCCATAGGCCCCGCCCACTCGATCGGATCGGCGATCGGTATCGGCCGATACTGATTCCGGCGATCGGCCCCAACATTGGCGATCTGAGCATCCCTACTGATTTTGATTAGAACATTTTTACTTGCAAAGCTGCAACCAATTCCCTCACATGAAAGTCTATTTGCGCTAATATATAATTCGCACTGAATGACATCTTCACTGCTTTTAATCAGGTTTGCTATTTTTAGGGCCTTGGACATTTACTCAGCTAATTCTGTAAACATTGTGTTCTTGCTGCAGCCAAGTGTTGTATGATCAAAGCCAGAACTGACGCTGATAGCTGCTTGTATACTGTTGATTCAGCTGTAAGATACAATTGTCGGCTTCATAACTGTTTATTTGACCCTGAATTGTTACTGTCCTTATCTGCAGTCAGAGGGGCTATTGTTCCATTATGTTCATACACAAGAGCCTACTCATTGTGCACACACTGTGTTTCACTGGGATACACTGAACACAATAGAGTCAACATGTTGAAGTGCTACTGATCTGTTGATGCAGTGCTAAACACCATTTATTCTTTCTTCCCCTTGTTCACAGGATTACGACATGTATTTATAGTAAAGGTTTATGGTTGAAACTTTAACTCAGATGATATAAATTAAATATAAATGTCAAGCATACATGACACATCGCTTTTGTTCACTTGTTTTTTCACAACATTTCAGTGCTTTAATAAAGTTTGCAACATCTATGTTGTTCTAATGAGTCATACAGTTTGTTGCAATTCATAAAAGGGTACTGAAGGTCAGGAAAAAGATATGGAAAATGTATTGGTTTTGAATTTTTTTATAATACAAATACTATATGAAGCTAGTTTACAGTTTAATTTTTCAATGTGTTTTTGAATGAATTATTTTTCTTTATTATTCATTCTATTCTCAAATGTGTCAGCTTTGTCGCAAATGTACTTAGACACATACTGTAGAGGCAGATTTTCTTTGTGCTGGTATTCTGGAGATACATTTCATATAATTTAGAATAAGCCAAATGCAGAGTATTTAAAAAAGATATCTATATTGTGTTACAAAATGTAAAACATACGGTATATACAGTGTGTATCATTTTTACCCTTTAAAGGGGATGGTTGTCCAGCGAGTGTGACGCTTAAAAAAGAAAGAAAAGGAAATAACTAATGACAATGACATGCCACCAACATTTAGGTGTGAATGTGGAAGGAAGATTGTAACACTTTGCTATTGTTTGTGTGCACCATGTACAAAAACAACATCAAGCGATCTTTTACTGTTTTTTTATTCAACTGTAATGGCTTCATCTATTTCTTTTAAGCAGTCACAGTACATTTGTCAGTGAACTGCTCCTCATCCCAAGATGAAGAAAGAATTGACTTTGATTTAATCATTCACAATAAAAATAAAAGGCTCATCAATTTTGAAATGGACATTTTATTTTTGTAAATGTGCAGGATAATTATCCAAGTCTATTAAAACTTCCCAGAGGGTTGGAAACACTTAACGCTGCGTGCTGCAGCAGGCTGCGAAACAGCGCTGTGTGAGAGCTTTCTTGATGACTGGGAGTGTTGTCAGTCACAGTCTGTGGTTTGATGATGTGTTTCTGTTGCTGTGCACCTCTGCAGGGAACGGTTTTGTGAACTCCAGGGGCTCTCCGGGCATCCACAGCTCACCCAGCGGCAATGGCCTGGGTAAAGTCATGCCCACCAAGTCTCCACCACCCCCCGGAGGGAACATGGGAATGGGAGGCCGTAAGCCAGACCTTAGGGTTGTTATCCCTCCGTCTAGCAAAGGGATGATGCCCCCACTGGTGAGTACAGCACTCCACTGCACACAAGCATCACCAGCTAAAGGGTCTTTAAGTACCTCTGCTGCAGGGCAGACCAGAGCTTTGTTCAGTGCCATCCAGACTTTCATAGAACAATCTTGCTGGGATTTTGCCACAACTATTTTTGACATTATCACATCGATATAGCATGCAAAACACTGTGTTTATCTGCCAACTGGGACTCATTGTGCAGCGTTATTATTGTGCTGCATACTCCCTCTATTAACATGTGGGCAGAGCCAAGAATCTGCAGCCCAGGTGTCATAACTCGCACTCAATTATTCTCATTTAAGAGGCTTTCTCTAATTATATTAATGAAGGTGCAGAGAGCTCTGACCACAGCGAACACCTGAGGCTAAACTAAATTCTCCTGGTCATAAATCAACATGAAGCAACAAATATTACATGGGGGATTTTTTTCAGCCTGTGGCCAGCAAATATTCTATTTTCAACATTGCGAGTTGCTGATGTTGTCAGCAACAGGAGCCACTCCAGGAAAATGATTGTGTTTGGTAAATAAACCAAGGGTTACTGTGGGTGCTCCTCCTTTTGCAGAACATAGCCTGGAGCAGTTTTTAAACAACTGTGTGTTACCATGTCGGCATGTGGAATCAGCGGAGCAGGACAGGAAGTGTTGTAAGAGGTCTGAAACAGGTTAGGCGGTGGTGGGAGGAAGGCTCTGTTGGAGTGGTAGAGGCTGTGGCAGGTCTGCAGACAGCCTGTCATTAGGCCATAATGGTATTAAATTAATCACATCTCAGTGTGACAGAGTGTAGATGAAGACTTAATCAGGGGCCCAGGGTGTGAGCCAGATAATATCTTGTCGCCCTTGTCGTGTCTTCCTGCCGCTATTGATTGAGTGTGGGTATTAAGACAGACCCGGCCTGGTCGCAGTATGTCCCACAGCACAAAGAAGATGGAAGATGGGCCGCTGGTTGCTCTCTCAGGAAAGAGAGGATTTGAAATACTCTGCTAAGTATCATGCAGTCATTGTTGGTACCAGTGAAGTTACTTCATGTCATTTCTGATGACTATGAGATGATTGCAGTTTCACATTCAGAGTTATGTTAGTGTCGGTCAATATATATAACAATTATTTACTCTCTGTTCTTAATTCTGTTCGTAATTTGTCTGCTTCTTCTTCATTATCACAAGATCAAGACAGGTTACATTCTGGCCAATGCTTTGGAAAGTATGGTTCAGTTAAGAATAAAACAACGGACATAAAATGTCGGAATTCAAAATGACTGCAGAAGTCATCCACTCTTTTATATTCCGTAATGTCCCTTTTACTGTAAAATCTAGATAGCCGTTGCTATTTTCCAGAGCGATTTCCAGGTGCTTTTTTCTGTAACCTCGCCTCTCTTCTTCTCTTCTGTTGAGGGCAGTCGGAGGAGGAGGAAATGGATTTGGTGAGTTTTGACAAATGCCTGGGCAAATGGCTGATATTTGAACATGCTCCAGGAAATCACACAAGCAAGACTGAATGCAGTGCTCCAAAAGGAGATTGGTTCTCTGAACTGCCAGAAATAATAAGTTTACATTTTTTTTTGTCACTGCATGTTTTGGGTCGGCCTGTGAAAATTGCCTCAGCCTGTTTAATTGGCTCCCCCATTGCCAACACGTCAATGTTAGTCACCTCCAGGAGTTTGAGAGAAAAGGAAAGGGAAAGCGTAGCACAAATAATGTTACATTTTTTAACTATTATAGTGTAGCCACAATCTGGAGGGGTTTACAAGTTATATCATTTAACAAACCAAAATCATTTCATATTTTTTCTAAGGAAAGGAAGATTACATCATCTTAAATGACATCATGCTGTGAGATACTTAGGGTTTGGTGAAGTCATCTGGCTGGAGAGTGTTGGAACAATGCAAGGAAGCCATCAACTCGATCCTGATGCAATGCTGCTTCAAACGTAACCGCTGGCAGCTGCACATTGTATTTGAGGATTTGTTACAGTATTGTTCGAAGCTATGTCTGCATTTGATTAGTGGAGTTGGAGTGTCTGCATCTGTAGCTCACAGCGTAGTTTGCTGCATGACCACACAGTGCTGTGTAGGTGTGTTTGAGTGGACTGCATGTCGGTCACTGCACTTAAAAAAAACACTGAAGCTCTACTGTACGTCTCTCTGGAAGAATCATTTCTCTGCCGCTCAGTTAAGAGATGTTTGTTTGATTGTAAAACTAATCACTTGACTCACTTACTTTGCCTCATTCTTAATGTCTTTTCACAAGGCAATAGAGATGCTGTGGAATGTTGCTCGCACTTTAACAGCATCCTTTTTTCATGTCTAACAAAGTACATTTCATTAAAAAGATTGTAGGAAATGGGATTTATAATTAGTTTTGCCTGTTGCTGCATGTTGATTCTTGATGTGACACAATTCATATTTCTGATTAATGATTTTTTAAATGTTGTATGTATGACTATATGACAATCCCTGTTCACCACATGAAATATGTATCTTTTGCTGACATATTTTGAAAAATATGGTGAGGAGTGAATCAGAAAGATCAGACATCCACAAAGCTACACCACCATCTAGTGGTCACACTTGTTATTACCCCCATAACCTTATTTACAACGATATATATTTTTACAAAGGATCTCAATTAAATGTCTTCAATGACAATAAAATATGTCCAATTCTTAGTATAAGAGTTAGGAATTTTTAGCAGTAGATTTTGGGCTTATGCTGTTTTTTGTGTTTTTTGTGTGTAGAACAACCAGAGGATAAGCAGCTCCCAGCAGCTGGCAACTCCGGTGGTGTCTGTCACCACCCCCAGCTTACCCCCCCAGGGCCTGCTCTACTCGGGCATGCCCACCTCCTACAACCCTGCTGGTGAGTCCGTCCTGGCTCTCCTCTCAGACTGAAAAGAACGGGCTCAGCCGCGCTGTTTGCACAACACACTGTTGGTTCTTGCTCTTTTCACAGAGGCACATGGTGTTGTATCTGAAATGAGTTCTCACTGTGTGTGGCTGCTTTTGTTTTCACAGAGTTCTCCCTCAGCAGTGCGGAGATCTCCTCCCTACAGGGCTTCAGCTCTCCTGGGCTCTCACTGGGCTCCATGTCGGCATGGCAACAGCATCAACTGGGCCAGGCAGCTCTTAATTCTTTGGTGTGAGTAACATAACACACGTCCAAACAAAGGCACACTCTCCAGACGCCCTCGCATAAATGCAACACCCACTGTGCTCTGTGATATCATGCTGAATCACACATCTACATATTCCTGGCTCTCCACAGTGCTGTGCCTCACATTTGTTGTCTCATTTTTATTCTGAACACAAAATGTCATGCTTCTCTTCTCTGTAGTGGTGGAGGTCACCTACCTCACGGCTCCAACCTCTCTATCAACACCAGCCAGAGCTTGAACATCAAATCCGAGCCCATTTCGCCGCCACGGGAGCGTGTCACCCCATCTGGCTTCCCCCTTCAGCAGCAGCAGCAGCAGCAAGGGTCCAGCCGACAGGAAGTCCTGGGACGTTCACCCGCCGACAGCCTCAGCTCCTCCTGTAGCTCTTACGACGGCAGCGACCGTGAGGACCACCGGCCAGACTTCCACTCCCCACTGGGTCTGGGCAGGCCCCCTGCTGGCTCCGAGGACAGGGAGGGCCCCTCGGTCAAGCGCCTGCGCATGGACACATGGGTGACATAAAGAGCCCCTATCACGCCTCCAGTCACCAGCCAGTCAGAGAGCGGGAGGGGTTAGACATGGAGATAAAAGAAAGAGCAAGGGTCCTAGTGCTATTATTATGATACTATTATTCAACTCCTTTCAATTTGTAAGACTGAGTGGCAAATGTTATAAAACGTGTCAGGACATATCTAAAGTAAATTCACAAGCTGATACAGTAGGATTAAAAACAATCTCAGTTAGCTGGACTGAATTACATGCACAGGCAGGTGATAACAGGTACTTGGTGCAATTCAGATGATGTTTGCAGAAGGAAGATGTTCAAAAGAAAATTGTTAAACAATAGGCGGTAGATTATTGTAAGCACTGGTCTAGTCAGACACTTACATGTAGTTGCTGTATTGCTGTTGTGCTCGCAAGTTGCAAACAATCAGAGAAAGTTGTGTTGCTTTCAGGCTAAGGACCCGTACATATGATGTTCAATGCAAGAACTATCTTTTAAAATCATGCTGTAACCACAGAAGACCTTTTATCTCAAGTGGCCTCTTGTAATTTATTGATTCATTCGATAAGGGGTACAGAGACCACGAGTTAATTAAGACTATACAGGACTTTTCACCACACAGTTAACAACAGTTGAGACAACCTTAGTTAATAAATGAAACAATACTGTTGGAGGTAAAAACAAAAGAGCATCAAAATGAATTGCAATAATGACATATTATTCATTTTTAAATTGAAAAGAGTAGGTTATATAAATGTGCAATTAAGATAATGCGAACCTGTCCAGTTGAACTGGTGCAAAAATCAACACATTTATGTAACAGTTCATCAGTAATATAAGCCAAAGCTGTTCTTTTGTGTCGTTTTGTACAGTTGCTACGGTTTCCTAACAATTCACTCAAACACACCATCTCTTTCATCATAGTTTTATTTTTTATTGTGCTTTATTGCAAACAGTGTAAAGTCGTGTAAACAAGATCTTGAATTGATATCTAAAGCCATGAACATTTGCTGTTCTGTTTGTAAAATGGATAATTTGAGCCAAACCTTTTCTTTTGTTGTGTAAATAGCGACTTTAATATATATCACCAGGGTGTGAGTACGTGCTGAATGTACTGTACTGTATGATCACCGTTTTCAAGAAAAGTATATTTTTGTGGATTACAGCCAAGTTTACAAGAGTAGACCCTTAAGAAGTAGATCATTCACTGGTCAATATTTGCTATTATGTTCCTTTTACTGTAATTTCCTCTAAATTGAATTATCCACATAACCTCCTGTGTGTTTTGGTTCCAGATGGCCAATTGTTTTTTTCTCTCTTTATTAGTGATGACTGTTTGTCCTATAGACATTGTTGTAACAATGCTGTGAGATTGAAGTTCCACTATTTTCAGATTTGTAAAGGATAATCACAAGGCTAGGGGAAATTGTTTTTTTTTCTTCCCTCCTATTGTAGTTGTATACCAGCAGCTGCTGAATACACTGCCAACATTCAAACCCAAGGTCCCTGCCCCACATTGAAGAATAATCTATTGTTATTGCATGTAGCTCAACAGTAATACACGCCATCTCCCAAGCCCTTTCCACTATCCTGTTATTGGCCCAAGCAGAAGACATAAACATGGCTGTTGAACTTCACCCAAAAGTGATTAGCCTGTGTTCATATGTGGTTGTAAATATCGCAGTCAGTCATGATTATGTACAAAAACCCTTGTGTGTTTCCCTAATTGGCCCCAGAAATTGTACCTTTTATCAATGCCCTATTACTAGTACTACTTTAGGCTTAGGAACCTTAGGAGCCAGAAGAGTGAAAATCTGAAGGCATTGAAGTCATTTATGCGTAAGGTGTTTTGATGCTGACCGTGACAGAGGGGGGGAAAAGGGGCTGTGACTTGTTTTCTTCTCCATCATCACACACACAAATAATACAGCAGCTAATTCATGATAACAGGATGCCATTGACTCCAATCTCACTGCTGGATGCACACATTTGTATGAGAAGTTTGCTGTATGCGAAAGACATCGCTCTGCATTCACCGTGACATATCTTGTGTGTTTCTGCGGTCTCTCCGCCCCATCATCAGCTCCATGGTAGTTTTCAATATAAAAAAGTACTGATCTATGCAGTTTACGCCCCAATTCACACGACATATACAGATTATGATGTCATTACAGGTGGCATTTAGTCCACAAAGCATCAGGAAGAAGCGCATTTATAGATTGACTGTTAGCCTCTTATCCTGAAGTGCCACAGCAGTACTACCAGTTACATATAATACATTTTATTAAATGATTGATTTGGATACCCCGGGGCAATCTCTTCATGTTCATATACATTGGTAGATATACATTTCATAATGTATAGTAATCCATTATGTAATCTAGTTTAACAAAGCAGGTGAAAATAGCAATAATAAATGACCACAACAACAAAAATAGTCTGCCTCTCGGCAGCATCACCTCGTAGTTGAGCACATACTTTAGCACTTGATCACATATCAGGGAATTTTGTAGTTTGTCTAACTATATGCACAGTGAGGAAATGCCTTATCCCAAAGAGAATGATATATATCATTTTTATTTTATTATCTCTCTGTAAAAAAAACACACAATGCAGATATCATTCAAACTTGACCAGACCTGCCTCTTCTTACAAAAGACCCACACAAGAAAATGCACAGTGAATGCATCGTGATACACTTTGCTCTTTTGGTCCATGTCCAAATTGTGCACAAATAATGAATGTGAAAAGAAAGGGTAATCGATGAACCTTTGTAGAAGACTTTCTTCACTTTGCTGTGTAAGAGTACACTGCTTCGCTTCATGGCTTTTATAAACAGAACTACGTGTTTGGTAAGTGTTTGTAGTTGATAGTTCACTTAACAAAAGAAGCTGTTTTCGGTTTGAATGCTCAGACCGTTTGGCGGCACAAGCTGGACTTTGTTGCCAATAATGAAATTATTTGTTTCAAAAATCGAAAGAGATTTTAAGTTAATCTACATTTTCTTTCCCTTGAATGTGTTATTTTATTTTCATCATACAATAAATATTCAAGTGAACTTTTTCTTAAACAATTAAGATACTATGCTAGATATTGTTGTACAAAATGTGTATTCTTCACAAAAGTACAAATATTGGCTTTTAATGTGTAATTTAGGTTATCTCTCTTATTCTGTATAAAATGAAGTAAACAACTCTTACATAGAATTTGTTCTCCTGTGAAGTTCCAAACAGTACCAACTGTCAACTTTATTAAACACCTCAGTGTATGCTCAGTCTGAACTCAATGTCTATTCATCTTTGAATCTTGCCAAGATTGCATCTCATTCACTGCATGCAGTAGCTGGTACACTGAGGCTGCTTCCATGGTCTATCATACATACAGTTATACAAACTGCAGGGTAAGGTGTGTATCTCACTGACTTCATGTTAAAACATTCTCTGACATTATCCTTATTGAAATCACCAGATTGATAATGTTTATTTAAAAATTATGCTGCTGATATCCAACTAATTTTACACATGCTGAATAAAGGGTGCATGCAGTATGGCAGCCAGTGGTGGGAGAGGTTCTCAGATCTTAAAGTACTACCATGTTAAATCATTACAACTTTGAGCTACATCTACTTTACTTGAGTATTTCAATTGTCTGCTACTTTGTACTTCTATTCCATATACAATTCAGAGGTAAATCGTGTACTTTTACTCCACTACATGTATACGTTTAATACTTTTACTTACTTTGTAGATTTGGATAGATGATATGAAATATAAAACAAAACCTAAATAAGACTTTAGTTACACCTGGAGTAAATTCACAAGCTACCCTGCAGCACACCAAGTAATTACAATTAGCTGCACCTTTACCAGCTTTGATAAACACTTTAATTCATCATTGTAATAAAAACAAATCATACAATGAGTACTTTTGGTACTTTAAGTATAATTTGATGCTAATACATTTGTACTTTTACTTGAGTTACATTTTGATTGCAGGATGTTTACTTGTAACAGAGTATTGCTACACAATTTACTACTTTAGTATGTTTAGTACTTTACTTTTACTCGAGTACAAGATCTACTTCTTCCACCTCTGTGTCTTCAGCTGATTTTGAAATAACTTCAACAGTGCTGAATCAGTATTTGTGCTTTTTTAGCTTCTTTGTGGGCTTCACGTAGCCTACTATGGATACTTACACAGATCAAACATAAACTGTTTCACATCGAACAGTTTTAAAAGGGGACCTCGTGCATTTCCATAGTATCTCCAGCAGGAGGAACTGTAACACAGCATTACACAGAACAATAGGTTACTGGTCTGCATCGTTAGCTGAGTTAAGGTAAGTTGGTTAACCACTGAAGCTAACACCTCACAACAACATTAGTCTACAACATGAACTATAATACAGGTTACTAAGCTAACAACACATTTATCTTCACTATCCGTTGGTCAGGGTTGCCAACTCTCACGCATCTGGCGTGTGACACACGCTTTCACTCTCAATCTCACGCTCTCACGCTGCCCAAACTATTCTCACGCCAAAAACAAGAATACCGAAGACTAGAAACGGTTTTGAAAACTTTTGTCACGTAGTGATCATCTTCTAAATAAAACATCTTTGATAATGTCTTCTGGCCAATCAGAATCACGATAACGGCGTGGTGTTGTTGCAGGAAGTCCCGACGGAGAATACTTTTGCGGTAGTACATCTCTATACATCGATACAACATTACGTGTTGATAGAAATCAACACGTAATGAAATAAGACCCCACGGTTTGATGATTGATAGGTGTGTGGGCTGTCTTTCATTTTGACACACAGAACAATGGGGGCTATCCACCCTTATCCACAATGTAAAGTAATTCACACAGCCTCTTCCCTCTTCTCTCTGTGAGGAGCAGCAGGTTCAGCTTTCAGAACAAAGTCACAAAAAACTAAAATTAATTAATTTGTTTAAATATGTTGTGTAGTAATAGATTTATTTATTTTTCTTCTCAAGAGAGTACCAGAATGTGTATTTTATGTTAGTATTTCAAAAAATCTCCTGGGGGAGAATCCCCCCAGACCCCCCTGCAGGGGTTGGGTCTTCAGCATGTCAACTCTTTCACCTGTGGGGAAATTGCAGGATTGGCTCCAGGTCGCCCTTTTTATTTACTGCAAGACAAATGTGCCTTTTTATTTCATACAGTTCAATTTGGATTGAGACAGGGAAATGATCTAAACCTCACGCGTGGCGTTTCACTGTCGGGGGGAGCGTGTATGTAATTACATTGCAAATACTGACTTGAGCCCCACCACTGTATGGGTTAGCCCTACCATAGATTACCCAACAAAAATACTCTGGAGCCGCAACTGCCGACCCGTATTGCGCATGCGCAGATCTAAAATCCAGTAGAAATGATAAAAAAGTAAAAGTCTGCTGCTTATTGTTCTACTAGGCCAAAATAGAGTCAAAGAGTATATGAGAGTGAGAGTGTGTTAATTAATATATTTGGCAGTTTGGAGTAAGTCTGTAGATTTGTTTGTGTGTGTGCATTTTTATTTATCGTACGATAAGTCAATTAATTGCTTATCGCGACAGGCACACAATAAAACAGTGTAAACAAACATGTTTGACTTTCATTAGTGAATGAAACTGTGTGCCCTTTATAGTCTGTGTCCATTATTGTGTATTTGTATATATTGTATATATATCCTATATGCTAAGGTCCCGCTGCTGACACGATAGCAGTCATTTCGTGCGCATATGTGTAATTAAACCGAATTAAACCCATGATATCAAAATCTCACTCCAGCCAGGTACCCAAAGTTGGCAACCCTGCGTTGGTTGAGTAACGTAGACGTAAAGTAAATTAAAATAGGCCTATGTTGAAATTCAAGATGAGGAACATCGCTAATGTTCATTAAAATATGATGCTTAGCTAACTTATAGTGGAAACGGTCTAGTTGACGCTATAGTTACATCTCTTTAACGCTTGATGTTAAAGTAGGCAGGCTTTTACTACAATGTTTGCTTAATCCTCAACTGAACACTGACTAATTAACTAGAATTACAGTGAGAAACATCCATCATAGCAAAATGTTCTCTTATTATGTTATCAAAACATTGTTAGTTTTGTTATGAATTTAATCAGAAAATAAAACATGGCAAACTCAATAGATAGTTAAAAACGGCATAGACGGATTTGGGTGATATTGACTAGGGTCCCCTCAGGACCCAAACAAGAAGAATAAAAAAACTAAAACAGAAAACAATTAAATTAATTAATTATTAACAGTTTGATTGAGTCGTTAAATATTTGCATGATAGAATAAAGCACCTGTGAGATTTGCTCCATTGTGGTAGGCCTATAGCTACTCAAATAACTAAATTAAATTGAGCAGCAAAACAAAGAAGTGAGAGACAAACAGGGGTTTGAGGTTAACTGTGTAGTTGACAAGTTCAATCTTTCATTCATGGTTGTGTTCAGTGAGAAGGCTTGCATGTGCATCACTCAGTATATTTGTCCCCAGTGCATGTTCTTGGCTTCCCCTCCATCAGACCAGCTGTGCTGCAGGCTGGAGCCGGTCCAGTGTGCATGTGTAGAGTAACCAAGCAGGGTTTTAGGCTGTTTGAGTTGTGTGAGAAGGAGGGCGACAGGCCACCTGCCATAGGGGCTTGCCCTGTTCAGATCCCCAGCCCTGCCTTTCAACTGGGAGCCAAGTTAGGGTTCTTTCATGTGGGCCTGATCTCCTTAAGACGTCAGCAAATATTGAACAAGACTCAGTCCAGACTCAAACACATCTGTTGTCATATAGTCTCTACTGTTAGGCACAGACATGGAGAGAGAGAGAGAGAGTGAACATCAGTGGGTCTGTTGCATTAGCTTCCATGTGTGGACAGAAAGCTATACTTTATACTTTGCAAACACAAATGCTCACTCTCGACGAGCTTAGGCTAAACCATGTTCCACTGTAAACAAATATGGGGCTGTGTGAAATAGTTTGAGTTTGGTATGACAAGGCGGCCACTGACTGCCAGATTCGTGCTGAAGATCAGACATGAGATAAGACGAACAGATAGCCAACATTTCATATGCCTCAGTCATGTTGTAGAATCCATCAACAGTATTTTGGGAGCGTTTTGGACAGATAAGAAGGCCAGTTGTATTGTAGAATTAGCATGGATTATGGAATTAAGAGTTTTTCTCAAATACTTGGAGCCTTAAGAGAATACATATTAGAGGAAGTGTAAGGCATGTCAAACTTGAAACAGACAAAAGCCCCAGAAATGCAAATACATATTCAAATCAACAATAAACAGATTCACAGGAAGGGAATAAACAGTCTGTAAAACTTAGTCTACTGTTAGCTCGTCTGTTTTAGCATAGTTTCGGTTCTTCAGTGTGCATTTAATGTCATGCAACTGTGTCATGGTATCATTTATTTTTTTCTGATCCCACATAATAGAAGTAATGCTCTATTACCCACCACAAAAAGACTTGGCTAGGACTCATCCCTAGACTGTGCCATTCTCATAGTCGTTGAAACTCGTCCTTGTGTGACTGGTATGGCTGGTTTTACCATGTTTTGCCTCTCCACCAATCAGCTGCCTTCAAAATTCTCCTGAAGAAGAAAAGGACACTGACTACAGGTTGTATTGCCTGAAGTACTTCCTCTTTGACCTCATAGTTGGGATGGTTGTGCTGCCTCCTTACAAATGTGTTGTTGCTCTCGGTGGAGACTGATTCAGTGTGTTGGTTTTTCAAGCTGTACGGCAGTGGTCGACTGAGCAGGTATAGTACTTGTTATTATTATACTGCAATGTAGTATTACTTGGGTCAAGTAGTTTATTCAGAAATGTTTGTGTTATCAGATATTAGGCCTCAGCACTATTGGTAAGATAGCCTCTCACCTTTGTTTTGTTTTGCTGATTTATTGTAGTTTAGATAAGCATTGTTTGTGTATGCTGACAAATCCTTGTGCTTAATCTGACATTGTGTTGATACTTCTTGACCTAAAGTCCCCTCTACAGTAATAAAGAGCCTTTTTGATATTTTATTTGAATAAAAGTGTTAAGCTAAGGAAGAAAAAAATGGGAAAATATTGTTTTTAGATTTGTTTATTACCTTAATCAGTTACGAACTCTGGTACATTTAACATTTGACTGTTGTAGTTTACATACATTTTCATTGACTGAATCTTCTTTATATAGTACTTTACTGCATTGTCTTTGGCCTGTTTGTATGTAACCTTATTCTATTTATTTTTATTTTCAAGTCATTGCTCAAGATGGAGGTCAAGAAAAAGAACTTCTTGGGGAACCTGCGTCTGAAAACTAAGCTGGTCAACCTGAAGAAGCCTGGGAGAAAGAAACTAGCCCAGCAAGGAAGAAAGCTGGCCCATCGGCGCAGTATTTCTGTACCAGACCTCAGGTTTGTGCCAGACGAATCATTTCCTGCTGACAACCCCGATGGGTCCACTCCCTCTGATGCCATCTTTTTTGGCCACTCCCCTAGTCAAAGTGATTCTGATTCTGTTGCAAGTGGCTCGATCGTTGATGGACAACACATCACAGACAAACCATACGATACAGTCTCAGAAAATCGACTCAGAGTTCCCAGAGAACGCACGGGTGCTGCTGCTTTAAAAAGAATAAGCGCACCATCGGGGTCACAGAGTCTTTATGATGAAATTGATCAAATGTCATATACAGGCTCAGAGATCAAGCTGAATATTGCTCGAGAAGGCTTGTACGCTAAAGTCAACAAAGGAGCCAAGGGGAATGCACCTAAATTCCCCTTTGACCCTATTCCTCAACCAAAATCTCCTTTCCCAAAGGCACTTTCACCAAGACCAGACCTGGTAGAGAGAGAGAGTGTCTCTGGTGAAGACGCCATAGCAGACAGATGGCCGGCAAGTGCTGTCGCTGCAGTTTTGGCCAGAGCAAGCTCAATGGGAGACCAAATTAACCCTTACAAAGATAAGAGGCCCGGATCAGTTGAGTATAAAAAGTCCTCCTCTGAGAAAGGAACTCCGCCACAAACCAGAGTAGCTCGTGCGGATACAATGTCTCTGATGTTAGATACTCTGGGTACTCCTTTGGAGAGGTCAGATGGAACCTCTCAGGGCTCTACCTGTGGCTCTCCCAATGACGAACAAGGCAATATGCCCTGGACAACAGATTCGGATGACCTGGACCGAGAACTTTGCTCTCCCTTTCTGATGGGAGACTTCACCAACGAAGAGATTCTGCTAGAAGAAATCCGAAATGAGGAGGCCCTGGAAGAAACCGCAGAGGTCAGTTTTATTACAAGTTTATTTAACTACATGTATAAGAGGACGACCCTGTTCTTAATTAAAGGCAGAATGTAGGCCAATGTACACCATGATATGTTTGTATTCAGATTTAAAATGAGTGATTTCCTTTCGTGATGATGAATCAATCTGGACAGCCATCCCCTTCTTTGTAGATACTATACAGTCATTTGTAGTGTCCCTTCTCTTGTAAGAACTTAGATTTCAGCTCTTATGAAAGAGTAATCTTCAGCCCGACGAACGCCATGACATCGGTATTTTCTAAACTTTAGCTCAGGCTTTAGGTTGTCGCACTTTATCATTACCTACAGACATATTGTACGATCATTTAAATGTGACGGTTACTGTCATCTAACTGGTGCTAAATATGAAAGCAACTCATATGATGGGTGTAAAACACAAAGTGACCACATGGAATTTTACTTTATACAACCCTGAAACAAAAGCTATTGTAACTACCTACTGTAAGATACCAGTCAAAAACCTGTGTTACCAGTTAGAAATATGTGTGTACCTCGGAGAGCTCTAGTAAACTTTAACAAAGAGACTGATAATATCTTACTGTTACTTTACTGTTGTGAGGAAGTATTTACATAGTGTAATCACCAAGCAATCAATGTTTGGTTCCCTAAAACACGTATCTATTGCCAGGACGAATAAATGAGTATGTCTCGAAATGAATAAAGACATTTTTGTTTAAAATTAAAGCAGTAACACAGTAGACATCTCAGCTTGAGTGAACTTTTTATTAAGTGTTTGCATTCAGATGATTCAAAATATATGTAATTACAACCTTTTTTCATGTAGATGTCCAGTGAAACATGCGATTTATTTGACGAAAACATGCAAGATATTCTGGAAAGCTCTTCTGTGAGTATTAACTGCACTTAAATTAAGTCAAGCAAATGGTATGAGAAAGAATATAAATGTGAATGGTTCTCTGGAGCAGGTTGCAACTGGGGGGACGGACATCCAGGGACCCCTACCGTGCCAGCGATACCTCCTGAGCATCAACCTGAAGCAGGGAAGGAACCTGGTCGCCCGAGCCAAACGGTCTGGTAGGTCAACAACAAGCAGGTCATCAATAAGTAATTTTTTACTTGACAATATTTACAAACTTTTTTTTTTAGAAACAAAAACTGTTCTTCTAAATGTAGGATTCTTTTCTCTTTTTTTTGCATCAGTACACAATAAAAGATGCCAAATCAGATTTCTTGCAGCAACATTAAAGGTTGAGCCTCATATTAAAAGGTGCAGGAACATACAACTTGTATTTATGAGCCAACCAGACAGTGAAAAGTAGTTAATAGGTACAAGGTATTTTTGTATAAGGAACATGGGCTGTGTTCAGTTAATGCAATTGTTTACCTGTAAGAAGGAAGCAACATGTCACCTTGTAAGGAAGAAAATTCACTGGAGAAGTATGCAGTCAGACCAGTAGGACAGACAGACCGAAAGGGATACAACAATTAGGCTGTTTTTAAAGAGAACACATCATCTGAACATGAAACTACTGGCGTTCCCACATTTAAATACCTGAAACATTTAAATCGTGTCTTAGGCGTGTATGGTGGAGTCATTATTTAATTGACATTTAAATGGACATCATTTATTGCTTCATGGCTGGTAATCTCTCTTAATACAAAGCCTGTGAATTATACGAACATGTTGTTATATCATAGATAGACATTTTAAATCTATTAAGAATATTGCAGGCCAGATCAGTTTTTCTTCTAAATGATTTTGCTGATGTCTTTAGTTTTGATTTTGAAATCAGTTTTCAAATGTTCTGTAAGAGTGTTAAGATGTGGGATATTCTATTAATGTTTACATCCTAATGCAGTCCATTTTGTCCTTGGCTATTATTAATTGTCATATCCATGTATAGAAATTCTGAAGGATAATTCAGATTTTACACATTGAAATGAATTGATTTCATAACTGATTTATCTAGTGACCATAATAATCTGTGAGAGAGAAAGACTTTGGGAAAGCAGCGCCCTCAGGTGGCCGGACGTGGAACTACAACATGAACAATTCATGTGTGGCCTAAAAAAGTTTAGGCCAATATAAATATATGCTTAAAATATAAGTTCAGCAATTTATATAGTAATTGGTTTACTTTAAGTATAGTTCAAGACAATTGTTAAAATTGGCAATTTAAGATTGATAAAAGCATTTCATAAATCTTATTTAATTGAAATGTAATTGCTTAGGATATTCTGTACTTTTAACCAAATTACAGTATGTGTTGCGTGATCCCTGTAGCTTTTGGAAAGACCTTACAGCAAAAAGATAAAAGGACTTGCTCAACTTTTTTTCACCATCCTGGTGGCAGAAGACCCTCCTAGCCCAGTGCCCTTCTCCCTTCTAGTTGAGACCTTACTTTCCCTGACAAGATGGCACCGTGATGATGCAATCCCCACACGCCCCCTGTCTGTCCGCTGTTTGCCCAACAATCAACACTGTGCCAAAGGCTCACCAATGGCATACATTGTCATTACATATTCTGAAAGGACCCACGCCACCAGCCCCCGCTCCTAGGTTTTTGTTCTCCTCTTTTTTTTCCCATTAATTTCCATCGTCACCGTTCTCAGTCATGCCAGAGCTTTTCTCCTTGCTAGCTGCCACATTCTCCTCCTGTCAAGTTGCCTGGAGGTTTCCCTGTCACAGGCTGGCAGGGTGGAGCTGCTGTGGGTCCTGCCTGCCTTTGCGAGATGTTCATTTGGAGTGGGGAGCTGACAGGCCTGACAGCCCATCCCCACAGGGCCTTTGTCATGTGATTCAAGCCTCCCTGCAGGCTCTCTCAAGCACCCCTTTATTCCCCTATACAAATGAAGGCATGGGACTGGCTTTCATTTTTTGGCCAATCTGCATGCAATTGCAGAAACAAAGAAGTCCCATACCCCCACCCCACTCGCAGACAGACTTTCTTAACAGGCTTGGGAGATTAACACTGGTTGCTTCTAGATTTTGGTTCCTGGTTGCCTCATGCTGGCGAGTGTTTCTACTCTTTCACAATTAAACAGCTACATCCCTCTGATTTTGCCATGTGTGGGGTGCACCTCCTCCTCACATATTTCAGTCTCTCACACAACCAGCATGGGGGAAGGGTATGTAAGTGCGTGTGGTCATGTGTGTTTTCATACACAGTGTACATTTTTTGACAATATGTTCTACAAGCAGTAAACATAGTTTGCGTTAAATTATTAACTTCCACCATAGATTGCTATGTTATTCAGTGTTATGTTGTTTATATAATAACTTAAAACGTAAGGTAATTATCACTTGTGTCACACAACACTATCTTGCTGATTTGTTTTTCGTTTTTTCATTTTAGGGACCAGTGATCCTTATGTGAAGTTCAAACTTGAAGGAAAACAGTTTTGTAAAAGCAAAGTGGTTTACAAAAGCCTAAATCCGCGGTGGAATGAGACCTTCTTCCACGCTCTTCGAGACAGAGAGCATGACGTGGAAGTTCGGGTAGGTGTTTGTTTGAATAGAGGGCCGAATCTTGCGCGACAACAGTGATCCTGTACTGGAGCACACCATTTCTGTTAATAATCTGAATGATGTTTGTTATATTGTTGCAGGTCTATGATAAAAATAGAACTGCTGATGAGTTCATGGGTTCCAGCACTATTTCCTTGAAAAGTCTTGAATTGTACAAGTAAGGAATATATTTTATATTTATATTTTAGGGCATAGATTATCAAAAGGATACCAGTAGGTGGTCTTAAGTTTTAAATTGCCATGTCTTTTGTGTCTCGTCACAGAACATATGAAATGGAGTTGCGTCTTGATGATCCAAAAAGTAAAGAAGATGACATGGGAGTTATTATTGTTGACGTCTGCTTGATGTTTAGAGATGCCACGATCAAAAGAAGCCCAGTAAGATAATTTTTCACAGTATTTTTTTTGTTGAAGTGCATTGGCCCCAGCCTTGCTTGAATGACTTGTACTGATTCATGTATTTTCCTTCCAATAGAGATGGCCACCGAAGAAGAATAAGGTATGGAATTTTATACCATTACATTTACTTTTTGATATAGTCATTTATAATTGAATCCAGAATGCCACCTTGAGTTCAACATTTTAATTTACATGGCAGTGTGGTTACGGTTACCCTGATCTATATCACTAGGGGGCAGTATCTCACTGTTCTATGGTGCAACAAAGAGTGAGGTGTATGCTCAGGATGAGGGCTTTTGTGTGTAACCTTGGTTTCAGCACAGCCTGTTTCTTTTGTGGTTTTATCGTGAACCTTTTTTGCAATACATATTATTTTGAGTGGCAACATTTGCTGAGAATAAAAAGTATGGAACAATATTACATTCTGATAAAAAAACAAAATAATAATATTGACTGAATACGCTGTCATGAAGGAGCCTTTAGATGGGTATTTTAGAGCAGTATTTGTCTCTGTAGTAAATAAAGTTCCATCTCCTCTCAAGTGGGTTTCAATATATTGCAGCTGTAATTAGATTTAGAGTGAAATAGGAGGGTTGCTGTTTGGGACTCACACTGCAGCGAGTGGGTTTATATTCACACCTATGTAGTCACTACATCTGCCACTGTTCAGTCTCTTGATGGTCCAGTAGACAATCTCAATTTAAAATTAGATAACAAAGGAATGAAGCCATTTTCATACACATTGCAGGTTATCCGCTACAGATGGTTAAAGATACTCAAAGGGAGACAGAAATGTGTGATGGGACTCTTCACAATGTTCTGCTGCCTAAATCACAGTGCTAATTTAACAACGTAACAATGCCATTTTTTTTCCCATTTCATTTTTGACAAACGTACAATATCTCATTGCATTTAACACCTATCCTGGAAGTGCTGAATACCCAGCTCTTACAGCTCCACTCCCCCTCTTACAGAACCTCGTTTCCTCCCTCTGTGTTACCACCACAGAGACAGGGAATGGCAAGTGCCTGAGTAATACTCTGCTGTGTGATAGTGTTTCAAACAGGAGGGGGCTGTATGGGAGAGGCGGGAGGGGGGCTCTGCTGTTCGAGGCATGTTGCCAGTGTGGGATGCCTAAGATCGGCAATGCTGATATTTCCCAGGCATAGCGGGCAATAACCCAGATGTTAGGATGTAATATCACAGCTGTGGACGGACAGTGCTGAGGTACCCGCCAAATGGACCTGGGTCTGAGCTCATCGTGCTTGTCCCCATGCTGTCCCACCATATGGAAGCAATCGCACGGCCCTTTTAGGACCAGGAATAGATTCTCTTTAGGGGCCACTTACAGTTAAGTGGAATTGTTTTATTGGCCGCTGAGATAGAAATGTGTCCAAGATAAACACTTGGGATGACTTGGCTCAGGCCTGTTTTATATCGCTCCTCCACTCCCTCTGTTCCTCTTCTTTTGAAGGGGCTGATATTTATAGGGCTGTGCCTGTGGTATTCCATGTTAATTCAGGTCCCTGAGATGTGCTTTGATCCCCTCCGGATTGGGTGGCAATGTGGGTTGTGACCCAGCAGTGAAGAGGAGGGGCCGGAGTGGCAGGGGAGTTGTAGTGGGGCTGTTTGAAGCAGCGTCGCCAGGGCAGTGGAAGGAGCTGGGCAATCAAAGAGGCGAGAGCAGATTACGGTCCTGCTCTTTAATTACAGTCCGCCCTACACAACCTCTCTGCTGTTTGTTTTTACAGCCCTGTTCTATTACCGCATGGCCTCACGGGAACTCTAACATGGAAACATATCAAGGCCTCTCTCTCTCACTCCCTCTGTGACACACGGCAGGAGAAGTCCATTATTTGCTGGGCTTGTCCTTGATTTCCAAAGAGTTCTCAAATGCACACCATCTACAGTATTTTAGTTTTGTAGAATCACTTGAGTAGGAACTATTTGTTATTTTGCTAGTTAAATAAATATTGGATGAATTTGCCAACATGCAGTAAACTCTGATGCAGGCCATACATACATACTGCATGTATGCATAATTTGCTGATGAGAGAGCTGTGCGGTGTGCATCATTACTCACTGCTGCCTGCTGTCTCTTGTGCAGTATGCCAAGTGTCCTGCCTCCCCACACTCAGTCTGGGAGCCAGTGATGAGTGGGACTGTCACAGCCAGGGACATCTGGCTGCTCGCTGACGTCCCTCTCTTCCTCGCTCTCCAGGAGCCTCCATGGTGTGGCTTACCTGTCAGTAGAGATGTGCTAATGTGCTCCAACAGAGATGTGCTGTATAGTGTGGACCTTTGTCCTACTTTCATGCACTCTGTGAACATGATGAGGTGCCAAGCTGAGGCAGGAGCTGGTATACTGAGGGGGAAGCAGAAAGCGTCCACACACAAGGAGCTTTTAGGAAAAAACGGTCTGTGTGTGTCTTTGCCCTGCAGCAGAACCCGGCCCCACCAACCCAGCGGCCGAGTGAGACGCAGAGAAATCCGCTGAAGAACCAGAAGTGGACAGGAGTGCTCGGTGTCACCTTGGTGGAGGGACTGGACCTGCCGCAGTATGGCGAAGGGGACATCTACGTCCGCTTTCGCCTTGGTGATCAGAAGTACAAAAGCAAGGTTGGACTTTATTTTGTTCTTAAAGTCTTTACCTCTCCTCTTTCCTTTTAATGTCTGCTCTTTATACTTCAAGTCTTCCCTCCCAGCCCCTATCTCTTACTTCCCCGCTTCCCTGTCTCAGCAGGTGCCTGTCAGTGACTCACCTCCACCTTGGCTCACTGGGCCATGGCAGAGGCAGCTCATTAGACTGGGCAAGGCTGCCACTCACTTCTCCCTATGCTTCGGGTGCTGGGCTTCATTGCTCTCATTTGCATACCCAGCATGCCCTGTTCATCTACCTGTACTTGTTGGCCTCCCCCCTGATGATTCTACGGTGCACTTGTCTTGTGTTGTCGTGTCATTTCTTTGTAAACCTCTCTGCTTTCCTCTCTGCTTGTTTGTTTGTTGGACAAAGCTGATTCTAATTGGAAGCTGTCAGTGTTTACAATCCCAGAGTGGCTACTGAGGTGTACACATACAAGCAGACACAAATAGAGACACATACACACAACACACCTCTCTTTCTCCTCTCCTGCTTCGTTCTGGTTGGACTGAATGAAGCCTTAATCCACCTGTCATGCAGGAGCTGCTCAGTCTGATAATGCATTAAAGCTGTCATTGATTCAAAGTGTGTGTGTCTGTGTGTGTTTCTGCGTTACTGTATGTGCTGAATATGTGTCTCGACTGCCCTCAGAACCTCTGCGTTCAGGCCAATCCCCAGTGGAGAGAGCAGTTTGACTTCAATCAGTTTGAAGATAACCAGGAACCTCTGCAGGTGGAGGTTTACTCAAAGAGAGGGAGGAAGGGTGAGGAATCATGGGGGATGTAAGTATTTCCATATGGGTAGTGTTAATTTTGCTCACATTGGCTCCTCCACAGAACTAATTGGCCTTATGTGTTTCTATGGTACTATTTTCCTTGTGTGTCTCAGGTTTGAGATTGCCCTATCGAGACTTCCACTTAATGAGAGGCAGCTCTACACTCATGTGCTGGACCCAGGAAAGGGCACGCTGGTGTTTCTGGTCACCCTGAGACCCTGCTGGGGAGTCTCCATCTCTGACATTGAAACAGCTACCTTGGAGAGCCCTGATGAGAGAGACACAGTAGAGGAAAAATTCGTAAGCAATTTTTTGTCTAAGTTTATGCAACAAAAAAAAAGCCCCCCAAATGTTGGCATTAAATCACACCACTATTACAGTTCAGTAAGAAATACAGATATGTCGTGAATTATATGTCATGTGTTAAGAATGCAGCTCAATCAATCATGCTCATAAATGGTGTTGAACAACTTTTATTATTGATCTTTTCCAGAGCCTTAAGAACACACACAAGTGTGTGGGAGAGGTTGGTTTCCTTCAGGTCAAAGTCGTAAAGGCAAATGATCTTCCTGCCACAGACCTCAATGGTAATTCTGTTACACTGATTCACTTCTCTGTTTTTCTATCATCACAATCAGGGCTTTTTGTTCACACAAATAAACACACTTTTTAATTATTTGCAGGCAAAAGCAACCCTTTTTGTGTTGTTGAGCTCAGAAACAGCAAACTTCAAACTCACACATTCTACAAGACCGTCAATCCAGAGTGGAACAAAGCCTTAACATTGTACGACATATGTGGGATACAAATTGTATCAACATTCATATTATTATGTTGTATATTGTTGTTTGTTTTATTGCGAATTACATGTTTCTTAATTGCAATGTTTCAGCCCAATAAAGGACATTCACGATGTGATAGAGTTGACTCTCCTCGATGAAAATGGAGACAAAGCCCCAAACTTTTTGGGGAAAGTAGACATTCCATTACTGACCGTAAGTGTGTTTAAGATTAGCCAATACATACTACTGTGACTGTTTTTAGTTTGTCTCGCGTAATAATATCTGTCACAAAATACACATTTTTGTTTATCTAAAAGGTTCAAAATGGGCAGCAGATATGTCTGTTGTTGAAGAAAGAAGACTTGGGAAGTGCATCAAAGGGAACAATCACACTGGTGCTGGATGTTATCTACAACAAAGTAAGGATGAAACTTTATTTGCTCAAGCTTGTTTGAAAATGCTGATGTTCCATATCATATAACTTGGAGTCATGAAGTAGTTTAATGGCAGTGTGTGTTTCTTGGTCCCAGGTCCGAGCTGGTATCAAAACCTTTAAACCAGAGGAGACAAAACTAATGGAGGAAAACCAGAAATTCTCCAAAAAGGTAATCTCTTAAAAAATGTAGCAGATGGATTAGAAAGACTTGCCAGTATGTTTCCCTCACATCCCAATAATAAAGTAGCAGCAACAAAGCTACACACGGTCGCAGTTTGGATCGGACATAGTCAAACTAATTTGTTTAATTGGCTTTAATCATCTAATTTCCCAAATAGCAAATAGGGGATTGTAAAGCTGATTGAAACTCATTGCAAAGTCATAAACATTATGTCCAGAATCAAAAGATACTAACAGTGTTTTTTTCCAATTATTTCCGATTAGGTTCTTGCCCGGAATATATATCGGGTTCGAAATATCAGCACAGCAGTTCTGTACACGTTACAGTACATTAAAAGCTGTTTTCAATGGGAGAGCACGCAACGGAGTCTAATAGCCTTTCTGGTAAGTCATTGCCTCACGTTAATGAACTCTCTTTAAGCCTTGGGGCGAACAAGTTTTGTCCCATTTCACTGCAACCCAGTTTTAACTCTTCCATTTTATGTGAATTAGATCTTGGGGAGAATCTTTGGTTTAGTCATTTTCTTTCCTCTGCTCATCTTTTTCCCATGAAAAACAATGGCTGCCTTCTGTTTTTATCCCATGCACATTTGATGGATGTGCTCTATCCTTTAAATCAAACCCCACTTGGCTTTCCTTCAGTTCTGATGACATTAGAGTATATTTGAAGGGGTGGGGTTTGGGCGTTTGTACATCTGACTTCTTAGTAAAGCCTCTTCGCCCCGGGGACGGTGTAAGAAGGATCACAGTCTCAGCTTCCTTGGGTGGAGGAGTGACAGTCTGCCTCCGAGATTTGAACCTTGTTTAAATGTCTCTGTTTAGCTGTTTTTAATGAGGGTATGTGATCTAAGGTCCTAAGCTTAAATAATCTTAAATCACCCTGTGAATCCCCCTCAGTACAGCACATGTGATGTCATGATTAAGAGTGTACACTTGCCATGAAAGCCCTGCCAGCGCCGTGTCAGGGTGAGGAAGCGGTCACAGACAGGGTGTGTGAAGAACTCTCCTTTCACCGCCTTTCTTCTGTCTACTCTGTCTCAGAATGACATGCAATTCATACCTGGTGTATTCTGTAAGCCCTTCTCACTGATCCTGAGGTGCAAATCCCCCCAGGCAATGGCCAGGCTCAATGTATCACTGCCTTTAGAACAGCACAGGCACACAGACAGGCCGGCGGACACACAGACAGGAAGACGGAGAACAATGCGGTTGATTGTATAAGGACAGAGTGGGAGGCAGGCTACTATCTGGGAAAGAAAGTTGGAGCACAGAGAGAGGAAGACAGTTGGGTAAGAGTGCGGTGTAGGAAGGCAGATAGCGAGAGACTTGGAGGCGGGGATATGGCCAGGAGAGCAGTAGGATAGGCAGGCTGACAGGTGACAGGTCAGCGGGACGGGGCCATCTTCCTCCACCTATAATTAGATCCTCCGCGGGCGATGGGTGTGTGTGGTAGCACTCTCTAATCTTTCATTTCCACTTCTGCTCCACCTGCTGTTTAGGAGTGCAGCTCACAAATGGAGATCTTAGAATGACGGGGAAAAAAGCCTCCCTCACTATTTTCATAAGGATCATCATTGTGACTTTAATGTAGTGCTTCCCAATCTTATTTTTGTCGACAAGGTATCATCCGCTCCCTGTCAGTGCGGATGGTAAATCCTGTGACATTAACTGTAGATGCTCTTCCTTTTGATCTGAAACAACTGCTCTGTATTCAGACACTCACACCAGCACACTGGTTGATAATTTTTTTTAAAAGCAGACAGTACTGCAAGTAGTCAGAGAACGCCTTTTGCCTGCCACGAGGTGCGCTTCAAATAGTGTAAGTGTCGAAGGTGCACGGCGAGATCCGCACAAACAGAATCTGCCACTGTGCATTCATCACCCACTCACCAGCAGACTGAGAGTTCAACGAGTGAAAAGTTATGTTTTTTTCAATGAGTTATTATATTCTCGAGCACACAGTAAAACATGCAAATCACATGTCTGTATTGCAAGTAATTGATAGTAGCCGGAAACACTCTGAACTTTGGTCAGCCAGGGAAACAACAAGGTCTTGACTGACAGTCATTACAAGCGTGGGGCCATGCCGCTATCTACACCCGTGCCCCTGCCCACTCCAAAGGTGGGTTCTGTACAGCCACTCCTCCTCCTCCTCCTCCTCCTCCTCCTCCAAGTCATCATTTGCAATTAAGTTAGTGTTTGGAGCTGTCCAAAGCAGCATGCCACCATGTGCCTTAATGAAAGCAGCTCCCACTCCTATCTTTATATCTTTAGGCAGTGGTAATAAGGTAACTGATTCAGACATTGACAGATGGCCTCTGCTTGCCTCTCAGATGTGCATAATTATACCACTAGTGTCTGCTCTTTTCCACTGTGGCAGGCAGCGCAGGGCTTCTCAGGGTATGCCGGTAGGAAACGCTGCAGTGGTGGGTCTAGCGTTAATATACATTACAATACATTATTTATCAAGCAGGCATACCGGTCCTACCCTTTTACACCATATACATCCTGTAATGCATTACCGCTGCTGTGGTTTCTACTGGGACTGCGGGATGCTCACGTAGTGCTTTACCAGGAATACTTAGCCATTATATCACTCAGTCCCACAGGCCATTTTTCTGACCTCCACACAGCATGCAGTCTACATTTGTATCCTGTTTATGTAGATTCATGTATGCATTATGAAGTGGTTGTTGGTGTGTGGTGTGTAAGGTATTCACATTTTCTATGAGGGATCACTGCTCTGTTTCACGTTAACTAAGTGGATGGGAATGGGGTAAAAAAGTGAGAAATCTTCTTTGTTCATATCAAGATAACTTTTCTCACATGAGTGGCAATCTGAAAGCTGCACATCCAGGAACATATAAAGGTAGCATTTACAGATTGACGGTTTATTTGGTGTATTTCTGCAACTGAGTGTTAGTATGTGAGGAATAGAAAGGTTTGCAGGATTGTCACTGTTTGCGAGTGCAGGAGGGTTACTTGTTTTGTTAGTGCAGTCTCATCAGCAGAGTCCGTATCGTTTGAAGTCGCCTTCGATTTTTCCACCAGTGTGTGTAGCAGTTTTAAAATAGGATCTCTCTAATTAGGTAATGTAACAAAGAAAAAAATATTTCTCACACATTTAAACAAAGTTCTGGCAAATCCTCATAAACATTTTCATCAGTGAACGGAAATATAAACAAGAATTTTGTCCCTCTCCTTGTTTATGCTACAGTAATGAGCCTAGGATCTGCGCTTTTCGAGAGTTTGACAACGGCATGTTTCTTTCTCTGAGAGAGAGGAAATGTGACAGCTAAAATCTTCATAAAATAACGGCCTTTAGATGTGCTTTTCACTAAGACTGAGATGAATGTGCTATACATCAGCAGTGACTGCAGAGGGGTCACCCAGAGTTCTTTGCTGCACACAAGAATAGGACCTGTAGATGGAGCTACAGCACTGCTGGAAATGTAAAAAGAGGCACCAAGTAGATCAGTTACTTTTCCCAACAGGAGCCATTCGTGGGAACAACTTGGAGTGAAATCCTCCATTCTGTGCATTACACTAAGACAGAAGTTTCTTGCACAAAAAAGAAGTACAAAAAAAAAACTATAAGAAGCTAAATGAGCATGTATTAGCCAGCCAAATTAATCTGTTTCAGAAGTTTAAAGTTGAGAGCAATTTTGATTTTGATGAAATGGATGAAAGAAAAAGGATAATTTACACTTGAAAGCTGATTTTGAGCTTTGCTGTCATTAGACCGCTTTAAGTATTTAAGTAGAATTAATATTTTAACTTATGAGGTACCTCATCTGTCAGGAGTTAGACTAGAAAGGAACCTGTATACCTCATGTGAGTATTTGAACCGTTTTCTTTTTGTAAGTGCCAGGTAGCAACCGCTTTAGACATCATTTGACAGCCTGTGAAATGCTGATTGCCTCACATCACACACTGTAAAGATGGCATTTGATGAATGTTTGATGCGATGCAGCTGTAAACACACTTGGCAGCTGCGACGGGCACTTTTTTTTTGGGGAGGCTGATAAAATCATCGTCTCTCCCGATGAGGGCAGGACAGGGTCAGATCTGGCTCCAGAGGTCTCCGGAGACCACCTGTGTGGAGCCGCAGCAGTGGGGGCCATTAACCAGAACACCAGCCCGGCCGAGATCAAAGCTATAATCAGAGTTGTCATAATTGTTCTTGTTAACACTGTCCCTGAAAATGAGATGCTTTGTGAGTCTTGGATCTGCCTATTTGTGGTTTACTGCATTGCAGTGTGGCCGAGCTTTTGTGAGAACAGCGAGAGGACTGCACGCCTGTGAATCGTCTCCTTGTTTTCGCTCTGCATCTGTTTTCTCTCTGTTTGAAAAAGTTTGAGGTTCTAAAGGAGTGGGTTTCTTCAGTCTCATGGGGGTTACACTCTCCATCTCTGTGGCAGTGGGAGTTCTCACAGACTGGGTAGTGGGAATGTGTCTAGTAAAAAAAGAAAGTGACAGTGATGGGGATGTGTGTATTCATTGTTTTGAGTCTATTCTATTCATATTTAATGTAAGTCGATGGCTACTTGCAAACTGCTCAGCAGTGTCTTAAAGTTTATCACAACATTATCATTTATCTGCACTGAATGGCTGTGTGTCAGTGGACAGCTCTTGAGGTTGGCTGTATGCAGCGTGTAACCTTGAAACATGTCCCCTTATTAGTGGGAATAATAAGCTTTCTGTGTTAATATTCACTTCATTAGGGCTGGAAATGGTTCCTGTTTTTTAAATGTTTTGGGACATTGATTTCAGTTTTAAGAAATCATTTGATGCAATTTAAACTGACCAAATTCATCATTTTTATTTAGCGTTTATAAAAAGCATGAAGGTTTTATTTAGTACAAACAAGAAAAGCGTTCCTTAGATGTATAAAAGCTGACTGCACTGAATAATCGTCTAGAGGTTTTATCTGTGCATCTGCTGTACTAAGGCGTTTCATATTATGCGTGTTTTCATGTATGCTTTGTGTTTAACCCCTTTGTGTGTGCCATATTATAATGACTGCCTTTAACATACTCGCCACCTTCCTAGTCACAGAGGACACTTTTCCCCAGGCAGCTGAGGCAGCGACCTGTCGGCCCCTGTGTGTGGCTGTTTCGGGGCCGGTCTTGGCCCCGGCGCGTTAATGTGCGTGTGAGCTGAGCTGACAGGGAGAGAGAGTCCATGCCACTCCCTCCCCACCTCCTCAGGGGGAAAGGCTCGCATGGCAGATCTGTCACCCAGGAGGTCGCTTAGTGTTAACGCTCCCGACACGGATTAAACACTAGTGGCCAGTGCCGGAGTGCAGGGTCAGTGCAGCCACCACTGACAGGCACCACGGGGCCCCGCTGACTGCCCTGCTCCAGCCTCGTACCGGCGCTACTCTGGCCCTGGCATGTGTCAGACAGGCGGGGAGACAACGGCCAGAGCTGCCCTGTGAGCACATGCTAATGCTCTGCCTCACACGGCTCCTCTAACTCAGAGCGCTGATAAAGAGCCGCTATATCTATCGTACTGCTCTCTGCATGCAGCCTTAAAAAGGGAGGCATTTTATTCAGTTGCCTCTTCAAAATTATAAGAACAAATGTGTGACCACTGAAATAACTGAAATAAGACCATGACACAATTTTCATAATTTAATTTTAGTTTTGAATTTAACCACGGAATATAAATCTTAATGCTTATTTATAGCTATGGTTTCATAGAAACAAATATGCAGTTTTGTTGCTATTTATTGAGCTATGATTTAACAAAATAATAGTAATAATTGTTAACAAATTCAAAACTGACTTGAGCTGTAAATATCTACGTACTGTACGCTCTACTGTATTTGATTTAAGAATTGAATCGTGAATTGCATCACACTCCAGTACTGTTATGACTGATTTCATCCCGCTGAAGAGGGACATGAGATTTCCTATTTTATTGCCCTCACTCCGGTCTTTCTCCCCCTCTTGCTATGTCTCCCTCTTTCTCTCCCCCCCCCAGTCGATAAGGCTTGAGCTGAGCGTATGTGAAATATTTATTCAGCGTTAGCTCAGAGCACCATGGCTGCCTACACACTCTACCTGCCCTGAAGAGAAATCTTATCTGTGCTTCCTCTGCCTCCGACACCCCCTGAAAGCCTGTCCCCACACTGGCCCAAGCTCAACACAAATTACATGTCTCATTGCTCTGCGTTTACAGCTACTTTAAAGCCTGCCGTTCCTGTCCCCAACATAAGCCCTCAGCCAGACTCTGTTTCAGGCGGGCTGAGAAAAAAAGAGACCTGCATGTGCTGAGCTGCTGCTTGTGCCTTTGATTCATTATTAATCTCCTTTTTTGTATTTTAATTGAGGAAGTAATGCAGATTAATTTTACTGCCCTTGACTTCACCCAGAAAAAGACCATCTCTATCAGGTTATTCAAGGTTTTGTAGAGGTTCCTATTTTCTATTCAAATAATCATTTTAATTTATTTTCTTAATATTTCTAAATCACATGTTTGCACAAAGTCACGCATGCAGATTAAGGCCTTTTTCTGTCCATAAAACACACTTACCGGCACAGACAACCACGCACAAACCCTGCAGCCTGTAGTCATTCTTGTTAAACTCTTTCAGTATATGTTCATGTAATTTGGCATCCGTCCATGGCCCCCATGACTGACCCTCATAATGCTGCCTGGCGCTCTCCTCGCTTTGTTTAGCTTTCCAAGTGGAGTGCATCGAAAGGGAGTAGTGAAGACACAGCCAAGATTAAATCTTTCGTGTTTTTGGATTGCACAAAGTCTTAAAAAATAAGGGTATTTTTGAAATGGAGTACACTAAACAAATAGCTGTTTTTAGTTGTTGGCTTGGTACAGTTGTGATAGTGGATGACCACACGTGCTGTAACATTAAATTAATTTGGCTCATCAACAGTATTATGTGTGTAATACTGATGTGATGTCTATATTTACAGCCTGTTATCTGCTGTAGTGTATAGGAAGATCTTTTGGCAGCCTTGCAGTCTGGTGGTACGTCTGCCACTCAGTGGTTTGGGTTGTTAAACTGGGCAACCCCCTCCTCTGTTAATCAATTTACAGGATGGTAGAAACTCTTTTAGAGGGTGTCTTTGTCCCTTTGTTCCTGCTACGATCCCCTTTCCTCTCCTGGGAGAGTGTGGGTGGTGGGAGCTGCCATGCTTGCTCAGCTTTAAGTTATTTTATTCACACTTTTAATCGCTGAGTGCTTTATTATTAGGTCCTAGATTCTGCTGGCCAGGGGATCTGCATGAGAAGGCGAAGAATGCATTTAGTGGAATCATATTAATGGCACTATAAAACAAATCTGTCAGGCTGTTCTTAACCCTGCTGGCAGAATTGCTCTGCCCAGGGTTGCCCCCTTCTCCAAGCGCTTACAGGTGGCTAAGGAGAGTGCATCTCCATCATCTACTCCACCGCGTGCTAATAGTTTTATTAATTCATTCTTTTTTTCTCCCTAGGCACCCAGTGCATAATCATACGGACATTTTTCAGCTAAATGGTGTTTGTCAAGGGAGTTTTCCTACATTAGAGACACTCCTCCCAGACATACACACTAACACTTGTTCAATTACAAGTCGTTCGTTATCCAATTCTGCTGTGTGTACACCTAAATGCTCAGGTATATCATTCATTATTACCTCACTTGCTTTTGTTTGTTGCTTTATGGCCTTTTTGGTTAAATAAATGACTGTCTTACCACTCGTGCAACATATTATTAGCATTGTCGTCTTTAAAAAGTTCAAGGTTTTACTTGTCATGCGTAATTTGTTGAAGGATAAACAAATACGCCCTTAAAACTGAAACAGAGCCTCTTTGATGACAATTAAAATGTGGATTATTTTTCATACAAATTTACACTCACGCCTGAAAGGTTGCACTTTGTCCAACACGTCCTTTAATCACCCAGCTGCTTGCTAATAAAACATAAACCACTTAGTGGGGAATTAGTTCTGTCTCCATTTCACAGAAACTCTGGAGAATGTGGGGAGACGAGGGGAAGGTTTAGTCCTGCCTCTGCTCATTACTGCGGGATGTCTGACGGTAAAGTCTCAGTCTGTGCACCTGAGTGAAGGAATCTGAGAGATTTTCCCAGATGTTTCTCTCCCATCTTTTTTATTGGTGTTAAAAAAGCATGTAAATCCCGAACACATGGGCTGACATACCATGAGGGAGGAATTGAGAAGATATTTCTGACAGTTTTGGTTTATACCCTCATTTAAGCACTCAGTTTAGACACAAGGCATTGTATTTCTGTAGGCTTTTATCTTGTCCACTGAGCCAGAACGCGGTGAGCAGAAATTTGCATTAGTGGGCGATTATGAATACCTGTGACAGATTCTCTCTGCCGGCTCCCTGGGCGGAAATGAATTGGCTCCCTCTGTTGACTTGCACAGGAAGACAGAGACCAAGCAATTAGACTTTAGTGGTTAATGTAGCAGCTTTTGCAGGGAGGGCAAGGAGGTTCAACATTCCTGCTGGGCTCATGTCAGTTTCCAGGCACATTCTCCCCCCTTCTCTTACCTCTTTTTTATAAGAATACTGGGAATATGACAAGCTACCTGTCCGCCAGCCAGCTGAATTCCTCGGGGGTGAGGGGAGCGTCGCTTTAGAATTGCCTCATGGGAGCTGAGGTGACAACACATGACGTAGGTTATTCATAACAGAGAGGAGATGTACTGCAGCTACCTCTGCACATCATGCATATTCATTGTTTACCTTTTTATTTTTTTTGTATCCCCCACTAGCTCCAGTTTGTTGCTGCATATGTAATTCAAATGAGCCTTTATAAAAAAATAACTACTGTATAACATTTGTTAAATTCTGTATTCCTTGGTCATCCCGCTGTGTTTCCGCATGTCGCTTCGGTTCATCCACTATCTCCCAGGTTGTATTGGGGGATAATAGGCAGAACGGTGGTGAAGCCTAGGGCAGTAACACCACAGTGTTGTCGGCATTACTCATGGTTCACGTTTCCCTGGTGGCCGTTTGAACCGAGGCCTGGTGTTGCAGTAGGTAGACCGGCCCCCAGAGCTACGTACAGGGACTCTGTATGGTCGCTTTGACAGGAGCAGTCTGCTGTTTACAGGCCTGCTATTGAAGCCTGAAGGCCCCAATGGTTCACATCCTGTCTCAGGCTTAACTCGAACATATTGTTCATAGTCGAGGCAGCCTCAAGCTTTTAGAGCCTAGACTGCACATTGCTGCTATCGTGTGAGTACCGCTTAGCAGTTATACTCAACCTTTGAAATAAACTTGTAAAAATTAAAAACTTGTTAGGAAATTAGCATGTTGGAAAGTATGCACTCGTTTTAGAAAACATATGTAAAGCGTGAGGACAAATGTACATTGTTAAAGACGTCTGTGGTAAATAAAAGCGCACCATATGTCTGCTCGAAATCACACTATAATAGATTTTAAGATTCCACTTGCTGTGGGGGACATTTTTATTTCATCCTTGTCAACTGGCTGGTGTGATCCTCCTCACATTTCCTGATACTTTCAGTTGGAGACAGACTCATTAGGCTGTCACTAAATGGTTTTAAATGCAGCCGTCCAATTAGTGCTCTGCTGTGAAATGCAGTGGGTGTTGTGCAACGTGCTTAGCACCACTCCTTTACTGAATTATGAGGGATTACTCATTCAGTGTGATCCATCTTATTTCTACCAGGGGTCTTGGCTTTTCTCAGTATCAGCGCCACGGAGGGGGTAAATGTTGCAAATGCTTCTCCAGTTGTCATATGCGTCTCATCGGAGAGTCTCGCTGCCTCCGAATCTAAGAGGATTTGATGTGCTAGTTAAAAGACAGCATACCATGCCTATCCATGTCATACTTCCTGTTCTGCCGTAAGGCGCTCTGCCAGCGCTGTGTTATTGGTGTATATAAATAGGATTTCAACGTATTAAAAGTTGTCCCTCAATGTCTGTTACTTTCAAACCACTAAGAGTAAAATCTGTTGCCATCGACTGTAAATCTCAGAGGCTTTACAGTCTGTAGTACTTATCATGAGACTTAGGACGTGCTTAAATCTATTATATATTTTGTTTCGGGAACATGCTTGCTGAGATTTGAAAGCTGAGCTCCTGCTACAGTGTGATTGGCTTTGCGTTATACTGTCATGTCCTGTCTTCTCAGATCTTCCTTGTGACGGTGTGGCACTGGGAGCTTTTCATGCTGCCCCTCTTCCTGCTGCTGCTCATTGGCTGGCACTACTTCCAGATCTCTGCAGGGAAGGCCAGCTCCAACCAGGACCTGGTGAGTGATGAGGACTCTTCAGTATTCATCCTTACACATCTGTTGATGCATGCTGTTACAGTGCAAATTCAATCTGTATGGTAACCCACCTCTGGTCAACCCCTGAGGGAATCAAATCCTTTTGGCACACGTTGGGCAAATAGCAGTTTTACAGTAATGTCAATTAACACTTGCATGTACACTGGATAATACTTGGCAATAAAAAGCACCTCGCAGTGCAGCCAGTTGAAGCAGTATTCCATATGTTTTATAGCTAGTTTCTACATTTTCTCCAGAGGCCTATTAAATCACCAAGCAGTAAGACGCCACTAAAATGATATCACTGTAAATGTATGTTTAGCCTATAGTCTGTTGAGTCTCATCACATCTGTAAATGCAGGACTATAGTTCTCTACAAACGTACAACTATCTCTATCTACTGTTGTGTAAATGCTGGTCGCCCTACACTTGTCTGTGAAGGTTAATGCTGTTCACACTTCTGACTGCCCCCCAATTTCACTGTGTTGTAAAGCCTCCTCACCGGCCGGCCGCGGGCCTGGCCTGCTCACACCCCCTCCCCAAAACAACATCCCCAGCCCGGTGATTGTGTTTATGGCTGCTGGCAAAGATGCCTTCCCCGGGCAATGTTAAAGCCCAGGCTCACCCTCATATCCAGTGTTGAGACACGGCCACCCCTCTGTGACCCTCTGGCCGGCAGTGACACAGCTCTGTTCCCAGGCAATGTCACAGTGTGCACCACATTGGGGTCAGGGATGACTTGATATAAAGTGATCTAGGCAACAGCATCCAAATTAAATGTGTTTTTTTTTTGTCCTCTTTCTGTTTTTCTGTGTGCTTATGTTGTGGAGAAATGAGATTGCTTTGGTGTGACAGTGCTCTTGTGAGGAAGGCCCTCTTTCACCTCTGCTTTTGTGTGAGGTCACCCCTGTGATGCAGTCTCTATGGAAACAAGCCTCTCCCAATAGGGGTGAATGTACTCAAAGAAAATTTCATTACTAGGTGTTTGTTAAAAATGCTCCAGTGCCCACATGTCCCGTTCGTTTGAAATCACCCTCTACCCTTTATTTTCTCTTAGGTGAACATGAGCATGGGTGACGAAGAAGAGGAAGACGAGAAGGTATTTTATTTTGTATTTTTTAAACATTTGAAGGGATAATATGTTTTGGTGGAATGTTATCGCTTTTCAGTTTTCAATTTTTACAAAAATATATATTTTTATGGATTTCCATAAACACAGAGGGTTGGAAACTTTACTCAAAAGCTTGTGGGCAAAATCAATTAAAGCGTGGACCCTGCTAATATTTATTTCTGAATCATGAATCAAGGTTAAATCTAATTGCATTACCTTTGGTGGCTACAAATACCCGGTTCAGAATAGTTTTTATTATTCTTATACAAATTAAGAAAATGTTTTTCTTAAAATTGTTATACCAAAGAGCCATACTGATTCTATTCAGTCTTTTAGCATTGTCACTATGAAAGTTACTTCTCAGAAGCTATTTTCAGACTGAGAATAGAAATATTTCATGCATCCTAAATGAGGGCAACATCTTTGAAGCATTTGTAGCGTGTAGATCTTTATCCTGTTCCTCTGGGTATTCAGAGTCACTTTATAAATTCACTCCGGAGAGATACTACTTTGAAAATCTTTAAATCCAAACAGCACCGTCAATTAGATTTTGCACGGTTGTTGCGGCTAAAATCTATAGATTCTTTTTTTTTGTATTATCATTTTCTAAATAGGATAGTTGTGTTGAGAATAACCTTTTACTACCAGAACAAATTAACAAAGTAAAATAACAGCAGTTAACTTTGCTCCAAAAAGTTATCAGTCATTCTAACGTGTTCGTTTGTGAGAAGTCATAAATGATAATGTTTATTAATGTATCTCTCTAGCGTCTCTCTTGAAAAACAAAACAACAGGAAAGCTTTAAGTAGCCTGAAAATTATACTTCCCCGCAGCACATAATATTCAATTACACTCATCCCACTGTTTTTCTGTAAAGAAGGAAGAGTTAACAGGGATGTGTATTATTGCTTTATGGCAATGAAGTGTGGAGCTAACGCAAAGCCTCCAAGCAATGACCCTTGTGCTGCGTGTCTAGGCCCAGGATTCATATCCATAATGCGCTCAATATATTCTGTTGTGATGACCTGAGGCTATGAAAAAAGCCAGCTTCTTTTAAAAACACAGGCACATCCACCAAATCCTGTCTGAAAGGATGGGCTAATTCACAGATGAAACCCGCATGATATGTCTGCACAGAGTGGGAAGCCGCCTTGCTATCATTGCTTGGAACGGGCAAACTGGTGCTTAAACAAACAACAGTGACACCGAATATCTGTGTATTTATGAATATTGAATCGAGCAGGATTACATTTATGCACTGCATTTAATATCATTGCTATACAGACTGTTTTTGCATTTGTCTTTACCTTGACACCTCAATATATAATAGAGGAATGTTTACTTTTTAGTTCAGAAGATGGCAGTGTCTTTAGAGAGGTTTAAGAGTCTCTCAATATGCTGCATGTGTTTCTGAACTCTTAAAGCTTTTTGAAAGGTTTTCCATGAGCCTCCCTAAGCCCTTTCACACTCAGAGGAAATGAAATATCTCCTTTCATTTGCTAATTAACCAGTCACCCATGTTTGTTTTAAGCTGTCAGCTTTAATTTAAAGTGGCTTTTTTGAAAGTCTTGTTATGGTCTCGCTGTCACTTGAATGTGAGATCATGCAGTTAGATCAAGCAGTGTAGCTTTACACCTCCTATCAAAGTCTTCTTTACAAATATTTGGGGTTAAAGAGTGATCAGTGTTAAATGTGATGACTTCAAAGCTTTTCCTTTTTTACCCTAGTCTTCCCTCTAACATGTGAATAAAGGCTTTTCCTCTGAGAAGGTTATGATTACCACTCAAATGTGTTTTTATCCCCCTTTTCCCCCTTGAGGAAGGAAATATTTAAACCTTAGACAGAGCGGCAAAAATGTGAAAGCATGACGTTAAAGAGACACGAAAGGCAAGGCAGTGTTACACCAGGATAATACAGAACAGATTCTCTGCCTGTGAACAAATCTGTCCTCGGGGAAGGAGGCAGCTTACAAATTATGTGTGGGCAAAGTGACTTCCCTTTGGCCTTAGGTATCAATTGTGCAGATAGACAATATTTAATCATAACATAAAGAAACAGAGAGGCAAAACAAGTCCATAGATCTCCAATAGAAATGAAAAGGGAAGATGAAACGGCCCCTTCAGTGCCCCCCGGCTGCCAGTGTGGGTCTGGGGTTGACTTGCTCCGAGAGCCTAGCCCTGGGGAGTTTTGGGGGAGGGGAGGGAGAGGATGTAGTTGTGGGGGTGCTAGACTGGGCTAGGGGGTTACTCCATCTCTCACCCGATAGTCCACTGTCACCGCTGGGTCTCCTTGAACACACCAGTCGGACAGACTGTCCATGTCATGATCTGCGGTGTGCCGAACATGCCCCCCCCCCCCACCCCAAACACATTCAAGCCTCTGAGAGCTTTCCTGTGTTTTATGCTTGCAAATTGTTTAGTATCTTATTTTAGCTGCATGTGAGATAATTTGCCTGGAACACAGGTGTTTTTCATTTAGATGCACTTCTTATCTTTGTCAAAAAAGTCACTAGAAAAAAAAATCTAGTCAGAGAATTCAAATTTGGCAGCGTTTATTCTAATTAGAGCGATGCTAAATGAGCTTTTTTCCTCCAGCCTTTGATAACAGCCCACATGTCTGTGAGAGTATGTTTACCTTTTGTGGAGGAGATCAAATTGGTTCTCCATTACCGCACCTTAAAAGCAAGCTTTGACAATTTTATTGGAAATGAGAATATGATTTCACACAGGGTTTCTAATCAGCAGACATTTAGCATTCATTTAGTCCATCTCCAGCTCACTCATCCTGTTCCATTTCAGAAGGAGATCTTTTATTTATTTTTATTTTCTCTGCACTCATGTTCTTGCTGAAAGAGAAATGAACAAAGATAAAGAATATCATCAAATGATTAATGTAAGAAGGAATTTAGTTTTGGTCGCTAAGGATGAGTTCAAGAATCTTAAAGCACATGAATAATGATAATCACGAGAGCTCTGCCTCTCGATGTGTACTTCAGAGTACATCTATTTGTCTGTTTTCCCTTTAGAAATGAAAGCCAAAATGGTTTCTCTTTTCTCCTGCTGGAGCTTTATTTCTGGCTAAATTTACCTTGCATGTGTATTCAGTGCATTTAGAAAATGCTTCATATCTCTTATTAGATTTGAATTCTAAATCATGTAATTTGGTCGTGTTTAAATGGAAATGTAAAAAGGAATGTGAGCCTCACTGATGAGGCTCCATATGCAGTGAGCTATCATTTCTCAAAGTGTGGCTCTGTGCGTCCATCAGGTGCTCGCTGGCACGGATTGTAATGGCTTTTAGCAGACTCTAACAGTGTTCCCCGCTTTCAAACTAAACTTTGGATAAAGAGCTCAATTAACACCTGATGTGGAGTAAAGGACACGCATGAAGGCTTGCTCAGCCCCCCCAAAGCTGCAGAGTGCAGGATGATGATGTATAAACACAGATAGTCCTCTTTCCCCACGATCAGACCATGAGATGTTAATCTCAAAAGGAGCATATTTGTGATCGTTTTTCCTTTTTTGGACAGTGCTGGGCCTCCAGTGTCTGTCCAGATCCGAGCCCAGTGGGGGAGGCACTGCGAGTGTGGGAATTGCTCTCTTCCTGCGCCTTTCGTGGAGAAGAGTGGGCCTGACAGTGGGGAGTCTCTCTGTGCTGGCAGTGCATGTTTTCCCAGGGGCCGCCTCATGAAGCTCTGATAAAGGCATTCTGTCTGGACCCTGTCAATGCACACAGGCTGCGGCTTCGGCTGACTTGTAACATAAACATATAGACATCCCCAAGCCTCCTGCTAGGGTCCATCAGAGCGCCCTCCCCCAACACTCTCATCCCCCCTCTCCCACTCACTCTTCCTCTCCCGCCCTCTGTCATCATTCCTGTCATTATTTCCTCCTTTTGATGTGAGGCCTCTCAGCCCTCTTTAGCTTGTGTTACTTGTGTTATCTCGAGTCACTCCTCTGCCGTTGGAAGGCTTCACAATTCTTGCCTTGATGTGATCACATTTATTTCATTTTGAGACCCTCCAACCCCCTCAAATGTTGACTTATTGCTTTGCTACACACAGTCATTATTATCTAAGTGCATTAAAAGCAAATAATAACTCATGTGTAAGGAGGGCTAGAGTCATGAGAGGGAAAGAGTTTACACATCCAACCGGCGTTCTATTCAACGTGACGTTTTTTTCTAAGGCAGGGAAAGTGTTTGAGTAGGTAAGAAAGCCTGGCCTGACAGATCTGAAAAAACATGTTCAAACTTGTCCTGTGCGGGGCTGCTGGATAGGAATCTTTCCTGCGTTTCGAGGCCCCTGCTCTTCTTGTCTAGGTCGTCTAATCCGCCTGATTGCGGTTGGCCATTTTGTGTACTTTTCATCTACCGGAGAGTCTTGATTGTGCGGCACTTGTGCAACAGCTCTATTGTGTGTGGCGGACAAAAGCAAAAATCTCTCAGCCGTCCACAGAACAGCTTCTGAGCACTGAGTCTGTCTCATCTTCAAACGCATAGTCTGAAGATGTACAGTGTTTGCTCATTATGGGCCATTCAATAGATAAATCACACATAATAGCAGAGCTTAGATAAACTGCTCTTTGTCTACCCTGCCCAACAATTGACATACAGCGTACCTCATCAGTGTCTGTGCATTTTTTTTTTGGCTCCTTTTTCAGGAATCTGGGAAGAAAGGTTTGATGGATAAGATACATATGGTGCAGGAAGTAGTGCTGGTTGTCCAGAACGTTTTGGAGGAAATCGCAAACATCGGAGAGAGAATCAAGAAGTAATTTCACATTTCATATTAATCATACTTCTTTTTGAATTAATTAATTTTGTTTGTTTATATAATTTCGCATGAATCTGACACCATTATTCTCTTAAAGCATATTCAACTGGTCTGTCCCATTCCTGTCGTGCATGGCCTTCCTGATGCTGTTTGTGACAACAGCACTGTTGTATTATATCCCTTTTCGATATATCGTGCTGATATGGGGTAAGTTCAACATCTAAAAACTCTTAGTTATTTCTTACAATTCTGAATGAAAACATAAAATATGTTTTGCAAAACTAAAATCGTATTGGGCAATACAAACTCCCACCATTTGTTTCTTGATAAATGCTTCATTACTGTGACTAAACTCTCCTCACAAATTGTATTAAAATTGACGCCCTTAGCATAGTAGCAAAAATACAACACTTATTCAATCTTCCTTACTGCACATCTTTGATTTAATGAAGTGCAGTAATTTAAGAACTGTGCCATGCCTACACCTCTGCAGAAGCACAGGGATCAGACAGCTGAGCGGATTTCTCTGCTCAGTGTGGGCTGATGTAGCAGAGGCGAGGCCTAAGGTTTGTGTGCAAACAAAGCAGAGGTAGAGTAGCAAGCTGTATATAATACATGATGTCCTTGGGCAGTCTGTAGGCTCCTGGTCTAGCCTCTCATTATCTGCTGTAGTCATACAGAATAGACAGCCATCTCAGTGGTCAGGGAGATATGCTGCCCTTAACAGGCTCTCCTCCTCCAGCTGTAAGCCCACAACCACTGTACTTCCACACTGCCTTCAACACAATCAATACCAAAAAACCATCATATCAAACAAAAAACACACAGTCGGAGACACTCCTCTGCCTCCCCAGTTAACCCCCATCTCAGTGGTTGCAAGGCAAGCCTTTCAAGTTGCTTGCACATATTTAAGTCCTTAGGTTCTTTGTCTGCATGTTGAGGTACAGGCAGTACCAAGCTGTGAATATAATGGTCCCATTACAGGACCCCAGAGATGTTGTTTTTTTCTCTGTGGTGTGCAGCCATGTGCAAAGTAAATATAGATGTGCTATAAATGATCAGATTGAAGCAAACAAAAGTGAAGAAACATTTTCTTATGAATCTTTGGCTCTTTTTCAAACTAGAGCTATCATTATTTGTCTTCTGTAATTGATTACGTACTGCTGTATCCATATCCATCTCTATTGGATTGGTCTGGCTTTAATTCAGTTTGACTGAAATGGATCAATTGAAACGGCATCATATAATGCAGTTACTAAACTTTATACCTAGATAAGGTTACAAAACTCTTTTCATTAGTGTAACTTTTTACGCTGTCATTAATGCTGGTTGTTATGACACCTTTTTATTTATTAATGTGTTCTTGTTTTCACAGGCGTTAATAAATTTACCAAGAGGCTGCGCAACCCACATACTATTGACAATAATGAAATACTGGATTTCCTCAAGAGGGTGCCTTCTGATGTTCAAAAGGTAAGGGTCCAATTTTACATACAGATAGGGAAGGAATTCCCTGAAGATGGCCGCATTATTTGCTGTACCAGAATTCCCAAGTGTTGCAGAAATATATCCTCTGGCTTTGTTTGATTATTAATGGACTCTCGCCTTTAAAGCAGCCCCGGCCCAATTATTCCTCAGTTCAGCTCCATGTTGTCGTCGCATTGCCTGAGTGAGGAGATGCTCAGATCCGTCCTCAGCCATATTGCTGCAGCCTCGCCCGTTATTAGCAATTTTGCCTGTCTGATTGAAGCGCTGTGACATTAAATGTGGTGATTGGCCGAGGGCCGGCGGAGGGCTCCTGACGTCTCTGGCTGTTGTGTCAGCGCAGAAACTCTGATGTGGCCTCAGTCACTTCTGGGTGGTGGAGTCAATTAATGTAGACGTGAGCCCCAGTCCTCTTGCCGGGTGCCATATGTGATTACATATTAGCCATGGCTGATATGTCATTTGCATTTACATCACAGAGCTGAGGAGAGCTGTCAGGCTGTTGTAAGTGGTGCTGGGCGCTCGCTGTTCTCTGACTGAGGATTTTGCTCGGCCAGGAAATGAAGTGCCACACAGCGCCTTCATCTCCCAGGTAACTCGCCAGACTGAATTCAGCGAGAAACCCTGACAGTCTGGATCTGGAAAGACACTCTCACCCCAGTCTGTTTCTCTGCTGCACCCTTGATGTCCTCCTGCAGCAAGCCGTTGCTGACTCCTCTGTGATGTTGGAGGGAGCCTGTGTTGTTTGAGATTTGGCTGACTGAGTTGGCAAAACAAGGTGGTGAATACATTTTGATTCAGAATCCTTTGTATGTCTTCTTCCCCGTTGGGATACGATGTTTGAGCTTTGAAAATGACTCACTTTCAAATCTCATGGAAACAATACTTTTTAGCCTGGTTTAAAAGAGAAACTACATCTTGAAAATAGCTCCAATCATGAAAAAACAAAACACCCTTAAGATTCATCATAAGTACGTTTCATTATGTACTGAGAAAAATAACCTTAACATCATATACACAGGAGACCCAAAACAATAGTCCACATATTTTGTTTTTGTTGACTTAGAACTTCAATCCTCAGATAGGTGTGGACACAAAAACAACACAAAGGCTGAAAATTGACTCCTGTCTTTCTTGCAAATGTGACTTGGCAATTAGTGCCTGTGCACATCTACAAAGTGTGCCTCAAACGGGGACTTCTGACAACACTGTGTCTGTCCTGAAATAAGAAGCATCTGTCAGTTCTGAGGACAGTTTCATGTTCTGATGCAGGAGGCAGTCACTTTGTTCCGACATTCCATCTCCCATTCTAATAATGGAGACCGGCTAATTAGCATAGAGTCCTTACCTTTAGTCAACAGATTCACCGTATTGTTTGAGCTCAGCAAGCATGCTTCAAAAGCAAGTTTTCAAATTCCAGCTCTTCTCCTTTGAGTTCACCCTATGATCAGTCGTCTTTGGATTATGGTGGCAGTTTTGGGAGAAAAAAATATGGACAGTTGAATCTAATTTTTTGAATGTCAAAGAAAACATGATTCTACAACATACAACATCAAGACATTTCTGGGAGAAAAAACATGACAGAAACTACTGCATCATGAGCTTAATTCTACACATGTAACCAGCAGAAGAAAGAGAGGTTGAAAGCTCAAATGTCACATTTCAGGTCCCATTTTTCATCAAAGTCACACCTAGGTCTGTAAAGCTGCGAACAAAGTTACGCGTCTGCTGATGTAACTTAAACAACTCTCGCTTTATAGCCTACGATTCTCAGGCTTGAACAAAGTTTTCTTCAGGGGACATAACTTGCAGTGAGTGATTATGCAGTTTGCAACTCCTTCACTGGCCTGGCAGGTCATCTCAACAGTTGATGTCTGTTTATAATATTGTGATTGTGGTGCAGAATGAGGGGGGCGTATGCTGGTACGGAACCCTTGACTCTTCAAATCCTTCCTCCCTGTGATTAATCCCCTCTGCTCCTGTGTTTAAAAAATGATTCATTACAGCCGAGCCCGCCTCGCTTTCCCCTGCACCAGCTCTCCTCAGGGGAGCCATTACCGTGCGCTCCACTGAGCTCGGATTACCTGCCTCTGACCAAACTCCTGTTTGTTTTTACAGGTGCAGCACAGCGCGATCAGAGCGCCCACCAGCCAGAACCAGCCGCGGAAGAAAAGGTAAGCTTGGCGGACACGCTGGATGAAAGGCTGCTCTTCTTTTTGAATACGGTACAACGCGGCCCACCTGACAACAATGCCTCAGTGCCAGCAGAGCCTGAGCCCCTCCCCCCCCCCACACCACCCTAACTCTGCCCCCTGCTGCTGAGGGGCAGCCGGCCGCTCTCTGGCTTGTGTGTTTGCCACCCCCCTGACAGAGGCTGTGAACTGCAGCAGCGAGGAGGCCAGCACATGGCACTGTCAATCACGAGCCTGGAGGTAAAGAAAAGAGAGCGCTGCGAGGCTGAGCCTTCATCTTCGGATATCATTTAGAAAAGGAATGAAAAGCGTCGGGCTCGGCTTACCTTAGACCTCCACTGTTTTTTTTGGGACTTTGGTGAAACTAAGAAATATGCCTTCAGGTTAAGTTAATACAGGCCTAGCAGTTTATCAAAAACAATCCATGGATCTTTTTTTCTTTAACCATGTTAATATAATTAAAGGACATTTTGCAATAGATTTTTTGAATAATCATCAAAATAATATGTTTAGTTGCACATTAAAAATATTAGGACAGAGTACTGAATTTATTTTTGTGGAATGGATTTCCTGTATATAATATATTGCTTTCTTAATTCTCTCTTTGAACCAAATATATATTTATGTACTGCAAGTGTATTATTACCAGCTTCCTTTATGTGTATATATTTTTACTGAGTATATGTCTGCATCATCAAATGGAGAATTAGCAGAAATGCTGAATAAAGAGTGTGATCAGTTTTGCTCTTGTTTTTGCTCTTGCTTTTTCAATAACTGCACTCCAGCGAGGATGGATTACACCACTTCTTTACTTGAATACACAGTAAACACATCTGATTACACAGCACAGCCATTGGAACAGAGCTCACACACCGGCCACCGCTGCGCCTTGGTTACCGAGCTCACATCAAAGCTGTGTGGCTCCAGTGTGCTTCCTAATGCATTGCTTTGTTGCCTTCTCACAATAACAGGGTCCAGATGAGAGAGAAAGAGCTCATCTCACAGAGAGTACTCTCCATCCTCAGCACTTAGTGCTTTACATTTCCACTAAAATCACCTGGCCTATCTAATGGTTACACACACATACTCTGCTTTTTCCATCAGTCTCCCCACAATAGTATTTCCAAGAAGAGGGTTGAAGTATATCCTCTAACAATTCTCTCATCCATATTTAGTTTACGTATAAAATGTTTTTATTGACACCTTTGGCCATTGTGATTTTTGCAAATCTGTTCTACACAATTTCTGATTATTCTCTCAAAGAGAAAAAAAACGAGTTCCTTTTTAAAATGTTATCAATTCATACTGCACTAATTCAACATAATGGCTAGACTATATTAAAGCCCGTTTACAATGCTAATATGTTTGCATCAAAAAGAAGATTGCTCCTTTTACCTGCTTTCTGTCTTTTTGATAGTAGACAAATATTTCTCTTTCGAAATATTCATAGTTGGGACTGAAGTTGGGCTGAACTGAGGCTTGGACCCCACCAATGGGAGTTTGTTCTGACTGATTGGGGGACTGAGCATCGCGGCCGGGTGCCCCCCTCCTCAGCAGTATAGCACGCTGGTGAAAGAGCATCCATCTGTGCTTTGTGAGGAGTTTGATTGGCTCAGGGGGACCTGGTGGAGCCCCGGGCTATCTCTTTTGACAGGCTGATAGAGACATCACTGGGATCTCCCAGGAGCTGCCACCAGGGGTCCATTTCAAAGTGAGAGGGTGTGGAGGTGACCCTGAGCTTCTGACGAGCTAAATCCCACACACTGGCTGTAACCCTTCTACATTCTTGGCTCCATTGGGGCTTGGGGGCTGGTTTTGGCTGTGCTGGGAGGAGGGCAGCGCTGCGGAGGGAGGGGTGTGGGGTACACAGATCACTGGCAAGACCCGATGAAGTGTCCCCAAGAGGTGAAACCAATTAAGCAAAACTCCCAGGGCAGTTTTTTATTAGACATTTCAGCAAACATACACATTGCAGCGCTGGCCATCTATATCTCATAAAGCCAAATTCAACTAAAAGGAACTCACTTTAGGGAAAAGCCATTTTGAGTTGAAATATTATTGTGTCAGATATATCATTGAGGCAAATGCTGGCTCTGACATTACGAGAGGTCATATGGGAATACGGTTGCCTGCCTCCAAGCTGTCAGATCTTGGGATCTGTGGCACTGAGGTTGGACTTGGATGTTCCCTGTATCATTCATAGTCAATGGATCATACAGAGGAGGCTGTGCATGCACCAATGCTCATGATACCTACTCATACACACATTGGATACACACACAAAAACACACAAAGCTCAAAGAGGTGTAATCATATTTAAGGAATTATTCATCAATGTATTTTCTCCTGGGGAGGCTCGGAGTCTCAGCAGAGGAAGTCACTGTGCAATATGGTCCCTCAATGCAGTGGGGAAAATCCCTGGATGTTTTACAAGCTTGCTAATGAACATTTGAGCCACACAGCAGTTAACATTGTCTGATCACATTTTTTCTCCAGTAGTTGTTGTTGTTGTGCATGGTGTGGCAGTGATGTCTTCATCAGCCTGTCAAAAAGGAAGTGCCTGCAGCTGTGGCGGATCCCCCCAGAGCCTGTCACACTCCTTGTTTCCATGGCAGTCCTTCAGGCAGCACCACAGGCAGGCTGTGTGCAAGGACCCATACAACCTGTTTTTTCAGCAGCCGCTCCTCTGATGTTCAGCCCCGGAGCGGGCGTCAAACTACCAAGTGCAGAGAGAGAGAACACTGCACCCTTTCTCTGTGTCGGAGTTCTGTGCTGCTTTACAAGGAGATGCATAGCAAAAAAAACGTCCTCATTTGAATAAGCCACTATTCGCAGCACCTCCTTAGTAATTGTTACATGTGCAGTGCTGTTAAGGTTCTATGACCTCCTCTCTGAGAGACATAATGCTCACAGTAGGACAAAGTAAGGAAAGCACGACTCATCGTTGACTTACATGTGTTAAAGCTCTTATGCATGTGTTATTTGGTCCGCTTGTACCACCTGAGAAGCAGGTCATGGAGATCAGTAGCTGCGCTCCGAGTCCCAACTGGCCTAAATTAAAGGTGCAGAGGTTACGGTCTGCCTCCAGTCAGAATCTTGACACCAATAAAGAGCAGAATTTGCCGGGGAATTAACTTAGCGGAAACACAATCTAATGATATGAGTTTGCTACGGTTCAATTATTTTGCCTATGTGAGCATATCTACCTGAGGAGGCTGCATGCTTTAAAAATGATGCTGTAGCCCGCTTAAGCTGTTTGTTGCAGGTATTAACTTTACCAGTCGGCACATTGCTTTCATCTCTCCTGATGAAAGAATATATAAATCATGGTAACCAGGATTGATGTTGTCTCTGGGAATAAGATGGATTTAACAACTGAGAGAAAATGGTCGCTAATAGCAGCTGTTTTCAGTAGCTCCAGTTAGCTAATAATTCATTGTGTGGCCCACAGTACACACTGGTGTTAAGACATGGCAAAAGCCATAATTCTTTATAGCATCAAGAATAGAAGATGGCCTTTAAGAGCTGAAATTAAATCATTGGCCTTTAAAAGCATCCCTCTAAGGGGCAAGCTGCATTAATAAATTCAACTGATTCTGCTTTAATATTATTCAGAGTGCATTAAAATGAAGACAACAGCTGGGATCATGCCCAGTCTCAGGAGTATTGCCCGGGCCAATGAGTGCCGGCGAGATGCAAAGCATGTCTAAGCGCAGCCCTGCGTTGTGGACGGGGGGCACGAGGTCTCAGTGTTACAGGTGCAGGCCTGACAGTTGCTGTACTGGGATCAGAGGTTGTTGGGTACTGACACCGGCAACAGGACAGCGACTGCCTGCCTCAAAAACAATGTCACATGGGAACAGACACCCGGCCACCCAGCCACCCAGCCAATCAGAACCTTACTGCCACAGTCATGACTGAACTGCTTATGACAACCTTCAAACTATTAAATGCTTTTTTTGTAAAGCTATTGTATGGAATAGTTATGGGCTTACTTTGTTTTGTTGAAAAATTGATAAACTGTAGGAGAAAAAAAACTGCACTGTGGCTTTGAAAACAGGAGAGGGAATAAAGTGTTAAGCTTTCTAACATTTGGTGTTACATCAGTGATCTATAGTTAGCATGAGCACCCGCGTCAGGGAAAACAATACAAAGAATAATTGAACGGCATATTTCATTCTAATTAACAGTGATATAACGCAATGTGACTCTCAGCCTCCTGAGGAAAGAGCACCGTATTTTGTTTGATGAATCTGCTAAAGCCACAGCTAGTCTCGCCACTAACCCCTGGGGAATCAGGTATCATTAGAGATATGAACAGATCTGCTTTTTGTCTCTGAAAGAAGGGGAAAACACATTTCCTCTGTGCTGGCACATGTGTGAATGTGAAAGTGTTCAATATTAATAGCCTTTCATCAAGGACACAATTAGGACACCTCTATTTGACACATTCTATAGGTTCTGAATGAATATGGATATATGCTCCCAAGGAAGGAGCCACTGGCTGAATAACAAAGTGAAATCTGCGGCAAACCCAGCAGAATAAAGAATGCACAACATGACAATCGGGAGCTGATGTATTTTGATCCAATGTGAATTTAAAAGAAGCAAGAGACTCTAAGTGTATTATTATTAGCCCGATTTATAATTCACGGCCCAGGGCAAGTTGTATATTTATCCAAATTAGCATACATTCCGCCATACAAACACAAATGCAGCACACACATTTAAGGGGCCACATTTCTTTCATCTGGTACACTTGAAGTATTACTTCTCTTGCTTGGAAAACACATTGACACTACCTGTGTGTTTCAGTTTCTCTGTTGCTTTCAAGAGATACAAAAAAAGACTAAACGATTAAACCTTAACACTGGTCATGGATCAGTCAGAGGTTCAAAAAGAGAGCCGATCTGATTAGTGAGTGCAGTTTAGTATATGCAATTTTCTACACCAGAGGCTTGTGGTGCTGACTGCAAAGCTAAGGTGTGAAGAGGGCTGTGGTGAAGTGTGGAAACTAATCACATGTGTTTCACCCCTGAGCACCGTCTCCTCCAAGCTCTGCCACATTATGACACAGGAGAGTCATGTAGCACACGAGCACGGTTAGGCCCATTAACCAGAGCGGCTAATTATCGGCTTCTACAAGGTCTTCAAGCTCTCAGGCAATGCATGTTCTCATTTCTGATTAAAAACTTAAATGCATGCAGAAAAAAGAGGATCAATTACAGCGAGGCAGAATAGATAACAGCCCCGTACCAGAGTAATTAGGCTGGCTGTTTCATCGGAACCGCTTGCTCTGTGATGAAGCTTTAAAGAGTCCAGTGGCAGAAACACCACAACTGTGTTTGTTTTATTTATGATGTTGCCGTGTCACCCACTGGGGCCCAATTAGCCTGCGACTGATGCCTTGGAAAGCATCTCACTGCCCCTCTTTGACAGGAAATGAAAGCTGCACTCGCTTATGTCCTTCTAGTGACCCGTGGGCTTCAACCTGTTAAGGGCAGACTGGCCAACAGCAACGACTTCAACATGCCACCACAACCCCCTTCCTTCTTCCAGGCCATTTGCCAGTATATTCCATACCATTTAACTGTGTCAACAGAGGACATTAGGGATAATCTGCCAGTTGTGGAAGTGGTTAGGCTCCACATTCGCTTTCTCCTGGCTGATTTGATCGTGATGCGCTGTAATGTATGTAACAGCCTTTCTCAGCGTTCCTTACCCACATGAGGGAGCACCACCAT